TGTTAGCAGACCTATTTTTGTATTCATATGAAGCAGAATTTATTCAAAATCTTATACATGAGAAAGAGAAATATCTTGCTGTGTCCTTCAACTCAACATTTAAATATATCGACGACGCATTATCAATTAACAATAGTTATTTCCATTCATATGTCGATACGATATATCCAAGTGAGCTTGAAATAAAAGATACCACAGAGTCTGACACATCTGTTTCACATTTGGACATTTTACTTGAAAAGGCGTTAATGGTATTCTAACAACAACTTTATGATAAACGGGATAACTAACTTTTCAATCATCAACTTCCCTTACTTATCCAGCAATATACATGTACCCTTATCACCTGCATATGGGGTTATATCTTTCAGCTGATTTGATACGCAAGAGCATGTTCTACGTATGAACAATTTCTAAAACCATGTAGTTTATTGACCAACAAGTTGATGAAACAAGAATATCAACAGTCTAGTTTAAATTCATCATTTCGTAGGTTCTATGGTCGAAACATTGACCTTGTCAACAAATGCAATCTTTCAAGCCCTATGATGACTGACGTTTATCATACTAATTGTTAGGCCATTATTTACGCACTGAATTGTCAACGAATTTTTCAGTTATTTACCTATCATGACAAGGAGCACACGGCGGGCGTGACCGGTCAGCAGGGGATGCTCACTCCTCCATGGTACCTGATCCTACCTCTGATGTTTTGGGAGGTCCGTGTTTGCTCTGCTCCCGATTTGTATTGTTTTAATGGACTTTGGGATTGAATACTGTTCGTTATCTCCATATTTCATCTATTTACATATATGCTTTTGATATGGAAGAATAAGATCAGGATATCACAGAAACGCGCTATTCTCAAAGGGATTTGTCTTTGGGAATGAGCGGTTTCTTTTTTACAATAACATTTTTCTCACACTTACGTGTGTCTTTTATTTCTCCAAGGATAACAAAGATAGAAATTGCAGGTTTAAGCGAAGAAATATTTCGTCTACTTTTTCCTGTTTTTAGTATCTTTTAGACAACAAAAGGAACATGTTATTCTTTGTTACACTAACCTGCGTTAACTGACGGTATCAAACTGAACTGTTTTGTAGTTTCTTATTTTAAATACTACCTTATATATTCTGACATTGACATAATTGACCCATTCGGGTGAACAGACTAGGAATCACAATGTTCCTTTGATGGACTAGTTCCTTGTTGGGAAAAGGTTCTGGTGTTGAATTAAGAATTAAGACATTATGGCCCACATGCCAAAACGTGTTAAAATACTAAGTATACAAGCTCCTTACTTTATAGCATTTGAAATATATTTTAAATTGCTTTATGACTGATAATTTCAAATTACTACATGAAGTACTGAGTCAAACTGTAGGCAAAATTTTCAGTACAAATAATTCTGTAAACTAATGTATTTTTCATGTAACACTGTCTGAAATTTACTGAGACTACGAACTGAAATAAACCAGAAAAGAACATCAATTGATATATTTCAAATATAAATAATCATGGACTACACAAACTATATAAGCTCTAAGAAAAGATATCTTTAACTTTTGCAGTCTTAATTTAAATGACAGCTAAAAAAGTGTATTTTCACATTTCCTTCTTATTACTGTATCCTAAGGGCTAAAAAAAATATGTCAATATGAAGCAAAATTGCAGTATTAAACATCCCCGGACGCATATCCATTCCACATTGGAGCCGTTATGGCATATTTCTTTGGGTATGGGCCTAAATTAAAAGCTTGCTACTAATGCAAAAAATATGTATCAGTTCAGCATCCGAAGCATTCTTAGTTTGCTTTAAACATATAACCATCGTTATATATAATAAATATTGAAATTTTTGTTTAAAGTGTACCTGGAAGTAGATAAATCTGAACCAATTGTAAATAACCACGAGTGTTTACCATCGACATTTTATTTTAAAATTGAGATTATTTTTCCCTTGATTAGAAAGGAAACTTCTTGTCTGCTTTGATGAGAAATAATTATTTTTTATCTGGTATCGGATTGTAATTATCAAATGGATTTTTCCATGCTCCAATCAATACATTATTCATATATTTTATGAATAGCAGAAGGAATAATTCCTTTTTAATTGCATATTCTAATGCAACTGTTTTGTAATCTGTATTTTGATTGGTTGATGCACTGATGTTTGAAGGAGCATTAACGAGAGTTAAAGTTTTCGATTGTGAGGTCTTAACAGAACGACGCAAAATTACAACGAATGGCTACGTATTTCATGTAACAAATCTCAACGAGAAATTAACGGTTATTTGAGTATAATTCAACACAGGAAAGGATCAATAGTTTAGAATATAAAACAAAACAAACTGATAAATTGTCCGAAAGCAATGAAATAAGATGCTGAAGGATCAACAGAAATAGTCTTGTTCTCAGTAACAAATCAAAAAGTAATTCTATTTACTTGCCTGTACTTGCCAGTGATAATTCACTCCCATTTATCAATATCACCATGTAGACTAAACAAACAATAGTGCTTGAGCACATAAATTCATCTCACACACTCTCAGATTGACTTCTCTTGGTCTGTGACGAACATTTAATATACAATGATAAGGTATTTTTTATTTCATTTTTATTTATCTATTAAATACAAGTCTACCTGGCCATTAAAAAACTTAAAGTATATACATAAAAAAGTGTAATTCTTTCATTCAATTGACGTATTAATTACATTTTTAATAGTGATAAATTATCTTAGATGAGTAGCAACGGGGATAACTTTTCTCTCTCAGTACAGTCCAGATTTCTCTATAAGATCAATAGAATCCTGCCAGGAAACAGAACACTTGACCAAGTGATCCAGAATTTCATTATCTGGTAAAATTACCCATGCCCATTACAACTTTGTACTTTATTTACCTCCTTGATTTTCAAAGAATTAATGTACTTTCACTAAATAATCAATAAACCCTAACACGAGAACCCCTGTCCCAGGGCCCATGAATGTCACAGTAAGGAAGAGACACCCTTGCTAATCATAACCATGCACCTAGTGTATCTGCTATATAACCTAGACCATCATAACCATGTGCTTAGTATATTTGCTAAATACTCAGAGCACAGAAAACATTTTCGAAGAAATAATGCATTTTCACAGTATTATCAATAGAGCCCTTCCTAACACTAGAACCACCGACTCAGGGGCCACGAATTTCACAACTTTTGAATAGGCACCTTTGTTATCATAACCACGTGCTTAGAAAGTCTGCCAGATGCCCAAGGGCGTAGAAGATTTTCAACGAAATAATGCATTTTCAATTTATTATCAATAGAGCCCCGCCCTATCACTAGAACTCCAAACCCAGGAACTATATATGCATTTCAAAACTTTGGAAGAGGCACAATTGCTCATCATAACTATGCATTTACCTTGTTTCTAAATACCAAGGGGCACAGCTGAAGATTTTCAAAAAAAAATGCATTTTCCCTTTAAAATCAAGAAAGCCTCGTTCTAGCACAAATCCCCTGAGTCAGGGGCCATGAATTTCACAATTTTGGAAGAGGCAACCTTGCTCATCATCATAATCCTGCACTTAGTAAGTCTGCCAAATACCCATGAGCAAAGAAGGAGATTTTCAAAGGTATGATGCATTTTTTTCTGTATAATCATTAGAGCCCAAGCCTTACACCAGAACCCCTGACCCCAGGGGCCATGATATTTATAATTCACAATTTCGGAAAAGGCACATTTGCTCATCTTATCCATTCACTTAGCTCCTTTGCTTAATACACAGGGGGAGAGAAGAAGCTTTTTAAAGAATTTATACAATTTCACTTTTTAGCCCAAGGAGTCCTAACTCCAGATCGTCTGACCCTGGCCCATGAATTTCACAGGTTTGGTAAAGTGTTCATTCTACATTATAATCATAGCAACATTTTGACTGCTTGATGTTCAGGAGTAGAGAGGAAGATTTTTGAAAATTTTCATTATTTTTAATGGTTTTGGTCCCACTCCTCAGGTGACAGGCCTACGGTCTAGAAAATTCACAATTTTTGTCCCCATTCGCCCATAAATGCTCTATACAAAAATTTGCTGAAATTGGTTAGGCGGTGTATGAGAAGCTAAAAATGTTAAAATGTTTAAAATGAAATATATGGAGATAACGAACAGCATTTAAGCTCAAAAGTCCATTAAACATTACAAAATAGGCGCTGAGCAAACACGGACCTCCAAAACATCAGAGGTGGGATCAGGTGCCATGGAGGAGTAAGCATTCCCTGCCGACCGGTCACACGACAATGGACGAAAACAGCAAATTGTCACATGAGTGACTCAGGTGACCTTATAAAATGCATAAATTGCATTAGATTGCAAATAACTATCCATTCGTATGTTATTTGCGAAAGTTAATGCTGATTTAAGGTCTGACGACACGTTCCTTAAACATCTGTTTTGTATCTTTTTTGTAATATACAACAAATTAATCATAATTTTCATTGTCCTGTGATTTCTAAACTGTTTTTAAAATGTTTAGGTAAATAAAGACACCAAAAATGTGTTATGTTGCCAATACCAGTGATTTCCAACAGGGTTATATAGTAAACAACATTCTCTGGTATCTTTCACAAATGCCAGGTACCTCAATTTTTTGCGAGGAATCTTTTTAACGCAGCAAGACTTCAATGACACATTCTTCAGAATAATTATCTATTATTGAGGAACGTGTCATTTGACCTTAATGGTCGCAAACATCCATTTTATCGGTCGCAAATAACAAATAAGAATATAGTTATTCCTTAAAATAATTGGCCAGTAAAGAAAACATCTGTAAGTATGACAAATTTAATCAATAAAAAAACGACAAAAGAAAAACGTATGAATTAAACTTGATAAATAGTTGTGGTTTATCTTAGCAGTTAGAAGTTTTTGTTCATCCAAAACTGATATTAATACACTGTTATACAAGTTATATGCAATAGCACCAAATCATGCATTTGTCCATTCAAATTATTATTTTAAAAATGTTATGTATAATTTAGCTAATAAAAAATTTACAAGAGAAATACTTGAATACTGAATTCTACTTCACTTCAGAATTTTGTTTTTGGAAAAAATAACGTTTCATTCAAAGATCTGTACTTAAAAGAAACCAATCAATGATCATATAAATTTTTGAAGCGACATCTTTAGGTCATAACTACTTATACTGTCGCTCCTTTTACTATAATTGGAATCATTTGATTCTATACTGTCTAGGGAGCACGATTTGTTTGACGTTTTTAAACGACTATTGGATGGTTGTATGTCTTCTTCTTCTAAGTAGAATTTAGGATGATTTAGCGGCGTGTTCTCACTATCCTCATCATATGAATCACTGTCATATGGTGTGAGATTGTTCCTTTTCCTTTGGTTAGCCCTATAATCTTTGGTCCGTGTTGACGCACCGCTGTATTCTGCTCCTGCGCTGTATTGCCTTAGTAACATTGGTGGATTGTTTTTATGTGTATGTCGAATATGATCACTATTGTATCCTTGGTCATCATTGACAGGATATCTGCCCTGTACAGGATTGGGATGACAGGATTCGATTCTGCTGTGATAATGTGAATGGATTCGTTTTGAAACATGATAACCTATTTGTTCAGATAATAATGGTTCCTCTATTGAGTTATGCACAGAATAATCAAAAGAATCCAAACATTGGTCAGAATATTCTTGATTTATTTTACTTGGGCAAGAATGTTGATGCTCTGCCTCTGCATGAAAAAGAGCATGGTGCTTTTTATGACATCTTGATGTTCTTTCTGGGAATGGATGCGGATGGTTAGATGCTTTGATATTTGAGTGTTCCCCATGTATGGGGCAATCAGGGTTATAAATGATGTGTTCTGCATTGGATGCAGAACTTTTGCTTGAATTGCTCAGATTTCCAGTGTTTTGCCGAAACTCTTCTTTCAACACTGAAATTTCTTCATCTAATTCTTTTTCAGATAACACCTTTGTTTCCTCAAATTCTATTATTTCCTTCTGTGCAGATGTCACTATCATTGCATCATTAGATTTATTATTTGTATTAAATGCTAATATGGCGTTTTCTAGATCCGAATCTTTATCAATATTTATAGTATGTAAACGTCTATGTCCATGTAAATAAGTTGCTAACTCTACAGACTTTTTAGGAATACAAAATACACGCACTTCCTTCTGAATATCTCTTGAAATTGCCCCTTTATGTGCCTTGGCAAAGTAAACACAAGCTACCCTTTTATCGTCGTTTGTTTTTGAATTTAACGCAAATGTAACACCAACGTTAAACTCGTTAGATTTATCGGTCTCTTCTGCTTTAATATCAGACCCTGGGGTCCACAGAATAACGGCCGCTGGGAACTCCTCTAGTTTTTCCGTATACCAAGACGCATATCCTACATCTTCTATTTTAGTTATTTCATCCTTGAGTTTATCGTAAATTAAGTCTATTTGCAACTTTCTTCTGCAAAACTTTGCAAATTCTGTAGCTAATGTAATGTTTTCTTTTCTGTTATTGGAGTATATCAAAAGAATCTTTGGAGAGGAATATATCTCTGCAATACAAAATTAGCAATTAAACTTAACATCTTGGTAAGGATGAATTACAGAACTTTTGGCAATGAATTTTCAAATCTTAACACAACAGAAGTGCTGTCCGGCAATGTGTCCTCAAACTGTATTTCCTACGCCAGAAAAACTGCTATTATCATACATCATGGGGGATCTTGGAATTCTGATCGTCCATTACTAGTTACTCAAAGACAACAAGATATAATTTACATATTTTGGAATAAAGCCCCACAAACCAGTGTCTTTTAACTGCAAATTGTTTTTCCAGCGATAGTAGCACAAGACTCCAAGAAGTAACAATGCCAGAACACCGCCACCCACTGACGGAATTACCATGTGTTCAGCGTGCGAAGGACCATTCCCTGCGACTGCTAAGATAAACCACAACAATTGAAAACACATTCTTTAATTCAAGATTAAATATTAAGCTGTGTTTTGAGGACCTTTTAACATTTAACATCCCTTTTCACATGCATGTATGCTGTAAACAATCGAAATATTCTATATATTTTTCCAATGCTGTTAATTGTATTTAACTGGAAGGCACATGGAAATGTATCTACCTTGAAAGCGCAAATCCCTAACAAAAATTTACTTTAGTAAATTATAGTTTACTAAAGTTAACTATGGTTTACTATAGTTAACTATAGTAAAAACGTTGATACTTTGATTTACTTTGTAACTTTACTCTAGAACTTTATTTCTCAAAATACATACCAATGATGTAAATTTTTTAAATAATACATGTATGTTAAAATAGAAGTAATATTTTCTTTAAATATGAATCGCTTGTAAGGGTTAAAAAAAGTAAAATATCATAATATCGATCTGAAATTCATAGTAAAAATACTTTGATTAACTATAGTAAAAACTTTGATACTATAGTTAAGTATAGTTTAGTACTTTTTTGTTAGGGATTCATTACTTAACTGACATTCCAATATCTTTACCAATATAGCTTTATTTGCATTATTATGAAACCTAGAATAATTTTGTATTGGTATACTGTACCAAGTTTCGCAAAGAATTGCGCAAGCTTTTCGGTATCAGCTACAGGAGTATTGAAAGTATATAAAACTGTTCATAGATTAGATTGATTGTATATTATTTTACGTCCCGTTCGAGAATTTTTTACACACATAGAGACGTCACCATATACTGCTGGAGGACTTCAAATTTAAACTCTACCGACTGAGCTACAGTGACGGTAAATCATTCATTGAGACAAATCTCAAAATAAAGAAGATAGTTCAAATGTACAGTATATCAGCGACTCCAAAATGTGCAAAGGAAATATAAACAAATATTGTTTTTGTTTTGTTTTTTTTTTTTTTTTTTTTTTGGTTTTTTTTTTAAATTCAAATGCATTAATATATGATAAATTATGGAGAGCAAGGTTTATAAATATGTTTATTAATGATACACTCATGATTTTTAATTTTCATCAAATCTAAAAGTATAAGCTGTGTTTGCTAAAGAAAAATGATCGATTTTATCATATAATTAGAACTTTTTTAAACAGATGAATAAGGTTAAAGATGTAATTAGAATTGATCTCAAATATATTTTCTGGCATTCATTTACTTAAAGATGAATGTGCAGTATTAAATGTTTCTGTATAATGAAACATGAAGATATCTCACATGTAAGTATAGAACTTCTTGCGTATCAAAATATTCAAATTCAAAGTCGTTTATTACCTGCAGCCTTCATGGAGTTAGAATTTCTAATTTCAAACGTATGAGACTTTGTGAATCTACAGCTGTCTGAACATTTATCATCAGTAGTAATGACTTCTATCTACAAAACAAATAAACAGGTTGAAAATAGGAACCTTTAAATAAGGCTGACGTATTCTTCCAAATAATTCTTTCATAATAACTACCTTGTAATCATCGCAATGGTAAACCACACTGATCATTAACATTTTATAGAGATTCAACTAAACTTATTTTATTATCCGATTATAAAAAAAATTATAATAATTTAAAAATATTATCAGGTGCAGAACAAGTAGCGTTATATTTTTACATCCACTGCATATTTTCTCCTTTATTTCTTATGAAACCCACTTCTCTTAATCAATACATTAATTCTCATCTAGTTACCGGTTTTTAAAAGAAACCTTTATAAAATAATTCTTAAGCATTCGATCGTTTTCAGTGAAACAAACTATGGCGTACAGATCAATAATACAATATGTTTAGTATTTAAACGTACTTAACGTTCCTACTAATACTATTTTCATACAAACATAAGAATAATTTTTAAAAAAAAATCCTTTCTTTGCTTTTGCGGATTATTGTTTTCACTGCAATGGCTGCAACCATTAATTTTTGCATTAATAAAGAAGGAAAGCATATCATTATCTAAATCTATGAAACTGGAGTTCACTAATGACTTGTACATTTCATGACCTATGATATAAAACTTTCTCGTCATTTAAATGCATTCAAAAAAGTATGAATTGAAACTCACTAATATGTAATATATGCCAGCATCCACTTCCTGAAAACAATGATGATATTTGTCTGATACAATCATCTTATTTCTGGTTGTTTTATTATTATAAACTTTAACCAAAGACACACTATACGTTGTGTCTGATACAGGATTTGGCATTGGATCAAAGAGTATAGTGACATCTTTTTCTGTAGGAAAGAAAGCAACAGCAATCGTAGACTTCCAACGTAATGGGTTATATACTGCAAGAAAGAGATACATATTATTTCACCCTTTATCTTTTCAAACTTTAAACATGTTCGAATAAATATTTCTTTGTTCATCAGGAAGTAAGAATTTTTTTATATATATTACAATATTTCCAAGTATATATCAAAGAGTATAATATTTCATAATAGTAATAAGTGAAAGTAGTACATATATTGACCATTTACTATTAAAAAGACTAAAAGAAAAGAATGCAGGAAGAATTGAAGCCTCATCTGACAACTATGAATTTACTATGATTGAAATATTATAAATGGGGAAAAGGTACACCATTACCAATTTAGGTTTTCAAGATTTAAATAACCAAAATTAAGAGGAATGATAGAGAACTTGCTCAAAGACTTACATTTATTTATAAAAAAAAAAATTAGTTAAGTAATTAATTACGTACCATAATAACTGTATATGGTGATGTTATATGAGAGTTCAGTGAATGGTGTTTCCTGAAGACTGGTTTTGTGCTTGGAGAAAGCTGTTAAAGTTAGTGTGTATACTTTGTAATTGTCAGATTTACATGGCTCGTGTTGATATCCCATGAAACATGGGAAACTCAGAACTCTCTGGAAAAGACATTTCACATAATCATTATAAGTGAAGCAGAGAAAACTTCTAAAGTCATTACAGTTTTTACCAGGAATAGAACTTTAAATATTATAACCAAATTTAGTGTATGTATCGTGAGCAAATTTTAAATAAAAATCTTTTCTTAAGGACAGATGATACAAAGAAATGAATGCTTAAATTGATACATATTTTGGACTTTTGGTTGTAAATGAAGTAAATACAAAATTTCTAAAATATTATGAAATTGTTAACTTCCTGTCATGTTCTTAATTCTACCTTTCTGCAATTATCCCTATAAATCGTTATAACCTTTTATCACATTAAAGGGCAATATTGTGAAATTTTGAAAGATATATTAACATCTGTGCGCTTAAAGGTATTCATTTTACTTATATAAAAAAGACTTTGGATAATTTCATCATTTTTGGAGAGCAAAGTTTGTTTGTATCATCTTTCCTTAAGTGGTATTTAAAAATAATAGCAATTTAAGAATTAAAATGAATGAAACCAAGTATTCAGATATTTCGGAGAATACTTCTACACAGTAAGGCACAAATACAGATTAAAACATGAATTGTTGATTTAAGTTGTTAGATTCTTATACAAACTTTGTCTTGGTGATGAAGACGAATAAGAACATTTAGTGTTAGTGCCAATAACTGAAACCACCAAACTAAAGTACACAATCAATTTATGCATTGACCATCATCAAGTACTCGTACGCGGGTTGATCAAAAAGTTAGCGAATATCTCTATATTTACAAAACCACAATTCAAAACAGAATGAAATTTGGCACACGAAAAGTCATAAACACGTTCTATAAAAATGTTACGTAATGTTTTGATCCATGTTTATGACGTCAGAATGTAAAAATGACGTCAATATATAGGTGACTTGTGACGAAAAATGATCGACTCGGTCTTACTCGAGCAAGGAACAGTTGTAAAGTTTAACGTATATGTTGGAAATTCCTTTGCAGTGGCATATAATGATTAATACAGGGTTTATGAAGACAAAGGAATTGCAAGAAGTTCAATCATTAATTTGATTGGTTGATTTAGTGAAGGAAGGGAGATGGTTACAAATGACGTTTGTTCTGGTATCCATTGAAAGTATGCTGGGAAAGAGATGTGTCTTACTTGAGCAATTTGTTATAAAAGATCATCAAGTTACAGTTAGAAAAATAGTTGAATATCTTAACAATAAAATAATTATTAAATCCCGAAAATATCATTAACTTTCAACTTTAAACATATCGGCTATGATAAAAAGAACGCGCCCATACTTGATTCACATTAAAAAAACGACGCATCCACGACTGAAGAGACGAGTTGTGATGGTTACCATGCTCATTCTGGTAAAAGATATCCTTATCCACCCATCCTATTGCCGAGATTTGGCTATTTTTGACAAATGAGCTATTCTTGTTATAAAAAATAAATTGTATAGTAATAAATATAAGACTCGTAAAAAGTTTTAACTGCCGTGAACAGAACACTACGAAGCCTATCACGTGACCACCTGGACCACGTGTTTCGCGCATGGGCAGAACGGTGGCAGATGACCGGAGGGGACTGCTTAAAAAAATGATACACACTGAATCGTAATTTTCTTTTATGGAAGTCATTCAATTACTTTGCGAACTTTTTTGATCACCCCTCGTATAAAAAGATTGTGTAAAATGATGAAATGGATAACAGAAAAGAGAATATGATCTTTTTTTTTCTTTTTCAACATGTAACTACATCAAAGCGTTAACAGTCCAAAAGGAAAAAGCTTACAAACAGAAGTGGTGATAATGGATAAAAAATTAATCACATAAACCACAAACCATAGTTTTAAATACACAACATGTAGAATGATTAAAAATTGCTGTTGAACACGATGAATTACCTGATGATTTTTATCACTGTCGGGACTTGAATAGCTATAATTTGAAAAGTCCAACAGCCTATACCGCGTCTCAAATGTGGGATCATCATAACTGGTAAATGTCATAGATATTCCACCGGTATCTATACATGGTATAAACAAGGAATACGAATACATAGCTAGCTTAGATTCACTTTTATATACTAATAATCTTCCTTGTTCAATGATATCCTTACTGCCAATTATCATATGAAATATTTTTCACCAAAAAAACAAACTAAAAATTTTACAAGTAATAGTCATCTTTCTGAGATGACTATTGGATATTGGACTTTTGTGAGAAGCACTGACTTTTACAATCGACTGCTTGCTTTGACATTTAAACCTGCGTAATGTACGAAGTTAAGGAATTGATAATGGATATGAGAACTTTAATAGTGGTTATAGGTATGTTGTCAGGGTCACTAACATGACTTACCCGTATACAATCAACACAAGAGTTGATGGGAGGCAGAATAACATAACAAAATACCTTATTTGTGAGGGGCAATATCTACTTTCTATCTCATTTCCCCCCAAAGGAATCAAATAAAGATGAAAAACACATTCCGAAAGGAAAACAAGGCAGGAGTTGGTCAAGGAGGGAAGGAAGGGTGTTGAAGATAGGGTGGTTGCCATTCCCTTCCTAGACAACGTATTATGTGCTTTGAAATGACTCGTCATCATCTCTTTAAGCTAAATATTTATATCGCAAAAGAGCTCCTTGTGCAAAAATAAGCCGTCGACTGTAAAAGTCAGCGCTTCTTGCAAAAGTCCATTATTCTAAGTTTATAAAGAAAATCCACAAGTGTCTGTTGTTTCATGGAGACCAAACCTTTTTTTATTGGAAAAATAGTCTTATCTGTTTATTTATTGGTGGTCTTCACTCTAGTTTCAGAATATGAACGCAACCAGTAAACTTCGCGTCTCTATATAATTACGTATGTCTTGTTTATGGCAATGCAACGTCATAAATTTATCATGTAACTTAATGAAATGTGTATTGTAAAACTTGTAAAATGAAGATAAAAAATTCACATGATAGTATGATGATATGACCGTTACCTGAGTATAATTATGCCAATGAAAAAGCAAACCTTGACATATATTTTTTTAATAGACAAAAGAACATATACAATATTTACACGTGTTATGCTGTTGCGTACACTGAAACGTAAACATTCATTCTATCCTAAAACAAACGCGCGCAATGCACGGAAGAGCATGTGCGTGTTGAACTCAGTGTGAACATTCCTGAGATCATTATTTTTTAAAACCTATATGCATTGTTTTTCATATCTTAATGGTTTTACAGGGATATTATTGAGCAGAAAGTATCTTAAAAAATCTTCAGGGTGTCATTCGTTCTAAACGCTCAAATTCATCTAATAAGCATTTACGTATTTATTTTATTACATGCATATCAAATGACACGTTGAAAAGCTAAGACAACTTCCTACTTTAAATTTGAATTCAACCGAAATAGTGGATATAATATTTCCTTCTTATGTTCAAACGAGACTTAAAAAATATGCGATGAACATCTTTTTTACCCTATCGCGCATTATCTATACAATGGAAGGAAGCAAAAAATATCCATCCTAGGTTAGAACAAGAGAAAAAAAAAACAGAGATCTAAGACATGTATTGCTTTGGTAATGTCTTGTGCCCACGAATAATTATAGACAAATTGTCATTTACTCAAGGTTTGCTTTAGAATTTGGTCTTCAAGAAAGTTCTCATTTCATAACAGTAACCATTGTTATAAAGATGGCAGTAAGGATATACTTTGAAACAGACTTTGTCGGTATACTTCTTCTGTAGATCTGAAAAATGAATAAAACCAAATATATTAGTAGGGATACAGCCTTTAAAGAGAAACTGACCTGTTTAGTAATGTCATTATCAGTTGTCAGTGGAATATGTTTGGGATAGAAAAATAGTCTCACTATATCCCTCATTTCAGTATCACGGTGCTTATCTGCACCTTTACTGGTCATCTGTAACAAAGTGGATCCAGGATCTGAAAATCATTCTCAGAATTAACACCTCAGTAGCAAATACGTAGATAGATGTCCATTTATTACACTAGTTAAAGACAGAAATTATTTATCATAATATCATACAGCCTTTTTCTGCAGCGTTTTTTTCTGATTTTTACTTTATTCTAAAGCAAAACAAAAATTATTATAACCCAAAAGAAAAACGAACAGTATGCTCTTTTTTTATTCATATCACGAATCAAAATTTGAAGTATTCCATATTTGATAGTCATTTCAATGGAAATGGAAAATTGCAGATATTTGAAAACTTTATTTCTTTGATAGTAATTTACAACGTAATAACCAGCATAAAATAAAGCCTCTGACAGCTTTTGGCACAAATGGACTTCCAATAAAATAAGAAATTAGTGTTTAGAAAATAAATTGCTTGTAAATGCATAGTAAAAGTAAATCTTCAAAGAATTCCTTCAAATATTTCAAGTATAATGAAGTAATAAATGTTAAATAAAATAGAGTAGTGGTGCTACACAATATGGTGAAGACAGTTGCACATTAGTCCAAATAATCATACAATTGCCAAACAATGCTGTACATGTAAGAATATTTTATACATGTACATCAATAGTAAGTCTTTAACATTAATCGAAACTTCAGATGGCAGTGGAAAATTCACACCTACCAAATTAAAAATCATAAGGGCAGAGACTGAAAAGAGACATCTTTTTATAATTTGGAATAAAACACCCAAAACCGCAAAAAAAGTATCTGATGAATGATAAAATTGAAATACAATAGTAGGTTTCTTCCAGGAAACGGAACTATTAATTATCGAAACAATTTGTAATGACTAGTTTTTAAAGGACTGTAAATGAACACAAAAGAATACATACAGAAATCTTTGTTGACTGTTGGCTTTGGTACTGTAAAGTTAAGCTGGATAGTTGGAAACGACGCCACATCATCAAGATAGTCCCGCCTGGTTATTCTGACCATTCGTATTGAAGTCAGTTTAGAAGGTTCACACTCCAAACAATGACTTAAATCACCTAGTGTTTCATTATAGGCATCCCATCCTGTAAAAAAAAATTGTGTACGCCTCACTACAATCTACAGGATTCGAGCAAATAAAACATTCTTATTACCATCATTTCTTTATTTCAATTCATTTCTTTAAACGGTATATTATCAAAATTGTTGACTCAATGATGATGTGTACCTTTCTTTCTCTTAATCTGGCATAGAAGAACAGTATCCCTCTCGATCTTTTCCCTTGGCTACAAATACAAAAAATTGCGAATGTCAATATAGTTACATGCACATACTATATAAGTTCTTTTGCCTTTTTTGCGATTTATAAAGATTTGCCAAAATAAAAATCACTATAAATTTGAGTATTAGAAAAATGCTTGATATGTGTAATTTGGTTTGTTGAGGAATATGCAATATTTGATGAAATATGGAGACAACGAACATTATTCAAGCTCAAAGTCCATTAAAACAATATAAATCGGGAGCAGAGCAAACACGGACCTCCAAAAACATCAAAGGTGGGATCAGGTGCCATGGAGGAATGAACATCCCCTGCCGACCGGTCCAGTCTGCCGTGTGCTCCTTGTCATGATCGGGAAATAACGGGGAAATCCGTCGACAATTCAGTGTTTAAATAATTGTCTAACTATTAGTATGATAGCATTGTTACCTTCATAGTTTTTTTTCCAAAGATGATCGTGCAAATACTACGCGCACAATAAAAATGTGCATTCTAAATAAGGAAATGGGATAGGATTCACCAAAATTGTATTCTCCAAAAATGAAATATAACTTGCAGACCAAATTCAGCTAAATGTTTTACCAGTCGGCTATTTGTATACGGTATCAGTATAATGCACTTTGCTAAATGTAATGTTTTTCAAATTTCAGCCAATTTCTAAAGTTAGTAAGTTTACTAAACGTTTTTTTTTTCACATTGTTGCCAATTTTACGTATGATTTATTTAATGACAGATATTTTTTATTGCATATACATTAAAATATTCTTGTTCTTTTTATTAATTCAAGTGCTTATTCTCTTATGCGGTTTTATTTCAGAATTTGACTGCAATGTTTTATGATTTTTTAAGGTACATTCCAAATACATGCAAGATGCTTGTTTTCTTCACATCCCTTCCAGAATGTTTCATTCATATTAATTTGGGACGCCGTCAAAATGCCGGTGGAAGACTCATATTTAGGCCTGTACTTAACACTTTTATCCATTTAACATTTAGGCATATTTATGTCCCATGCAGTACCTACTGCAACACGTCACTTCAGTTTATTTGGTCTCATCACAGATACTGTATATATGAAAACACTTCAAATCAAAATAGTATATCAAAGGTACTGTAAACACATTTTTCTACAGAGTCATAATTCTGCTGAATCGCTAATCCACTGTTATAAAGAAGATGGGTGAACAAGGCGACAAACATGAAGGTGAAAAATGAAATCTCAATTATATAATTTTTTTTCTGATATTTCATCTAACATTAAAGCATACTTCACGTAAAATCTCTACAAGGATCATTTTCTCATACTATAACACAATTTTTCGATAGACGTGGGTCTTTGCTTCATATTTTTGAAAGTTAATATTAGAAGTTTACGTAAAAATATACATTTCTTTGTTAACAAAAACATGGAGAAAAGACCCACTATACCTTAAAAATACACTTTTATGACAAAACATTCGCATCTTTCTGAAAAATACTTGGTCCATTAATCAAGGGTCATATCTAAATGCCACCATTTATCCGGAAACGTGTAGTGTAGTGGATAGCGTGTTAGTCTCTAAGCAATACGATACTCAGGATTTATATTGCTAGGGTCCGAATCCCCCGAATATCACATTATTTTTTCATAAAAGAAAATTTTTTTTCGAGAATTTTTTTTTTCGGAAAAGTTTTTTTTATCATCATTTCATAATTTCAATAATGAGAACTTTACTTTAAATACTTTTCCACAAATGGAAAATGATTTTTATATATATCAAAAGCTATGGGCATTCTGGACGCCTTATTCACCCATCTTCTTTGTAACCGCGTACCCGTTCTATGGAAAAATAGAACGTCCGCAGTATCTTACCATAAAAAGTGCATGAGATTGATCATATATCACGCTAATATTAATATTCATAGTTTTAATAAATTATTTGCATTCAATTTATCTGCTTAATACTAATGTCTGAGAATATGGGCATCACATATTTGCATTGAAACTATTCCCAAACTTTCGTGTACTTTTATCTCCAAGGTTTATTATGATTTCAATTGCAAGGTCAAACGAGGGAAAATTTGGTCCACCTTTTTCTATTTTAAGTATCTTAAAGACATCAAGAGAGATATGTCCTTCAATGTTACACGAACAAGGTCAACAAAACGTTATCTGACGGTATCAAACTGAACATTTTTTGTTGTTTTCTTATCTTAAATATTACCCTATACACCTAAAAAATGATATGCTTACATCGACAAAATCAAACAGGAAGGAAACATGATTGAACAAAATTGAACCATTCGGTTAAATAGATTGGATATTACAATGTTCTAATGATGGATTTCTTCCTTGTTAAGAAAAGGGTCCGTCAAGGAATTAAGAGCATATGACAAGGATGTGTTTAAAATCCTTTACAAAAAATCTTTTTTTTTTCTTCGTAGTATTTGAAATGGTCTTTAAATGGCTTTATGACTGATCCCCTTCTTTTCCAAAAATAACGTTTTTACTATTGAAATTATTCATTGAAAGATCCTCCACACACACATTGTTTGTTGCAGTATAATTAAATAAGGGTAATGTAGAAGTGTGTATATGAATAATATTTGGTACTGAAACATTTAGTTGGAACTTTCTCTTTGTAAATACGTCTCGTAAGTTAACTACATTTGTACAGCTGTTGAATGTAACAATGCAATTTATTACATTTTCAACAGTGAAATACTGTGATTTATTTATTGAATAAAAGTGATATTCTCTCACAGTGTGAAAGGATACCAAAAATGATATTCTCTCACAGTGTGAAAGGATATCAAAGTAAGTAAAAAATAATTTCTGGCCTGAAATAAGGTAGAGATAGTAACTAAGCATCTTGATAGAGCTAAAACTGCATATTTCTTCCTAAATGTGTTGCTAAAATCCATGTTATGTAATGTTTTCAATCTGACATGTGCACAACTTCTAAGCTATGACGTCTCAACCGCTCAACTATGACGTCAAGCCTATGACACTGTGTTAAGAAAAGACAGAGGCAAAGGGAAAATCAAAGAAAATGTAATAAGCAGAAAATTCAAATTTTGTAGATGAATATGGAATTTATTTCACTCGTGAGACAGGATTTATTGATATTTTCACTCGTGCTTCGCACTCGTGAAAATATCAAAAAATCCTGTCCCACTCGTGAAATAAATTCCATATTCATCTTCAAAACATTGAATATCCTCTATTTATCCTAGGATCTCAAATAACCAGAAAAGAACATCATGTGATAATTTTCAAACATAGATAATGTAGAATTAGAATAAATGTCATTTTCCTGATATCAAGTCTTAAAGGACTACATGTTAAATATTTTTTTTATAAGTGTATTACTTACGTTACACCTCCAGCGTAATCATATTAATATCATATAAAGCAAGACTGCAGTACAGCATATCCCTAGATGTATACCCATTAAACTTTGGTGCAGGTATCGCCTAATTTCTCCCAGTATCAGTCTCATGCAGCATCTAAAGCATGGTTTTTAGTTTATACATGTATAATTATACTTTGATGCAACATTTGTGCAAGCATGGTTCATCAGGTAGGGCTAGCGCTGATTGTTACTTGGGAAATATTCCTGCTCCCAAGACATATCGTGGCTACTCATCCTAGTGATGAGAGAGCATAATTTAATTCTATATTTTACAGTGTGATTACTTTGCTCTATTTTTATTTTCACAGCATATATTCTATATTTTGGAGTGTGATTACTTTGCACTTTTTTTTTTAATTTATGTTTTAAGCAAAGCATATATTCTCTATTTTAGAGAGTTATTACTTTGCTCTGTTTTCATTTTCATTTATGTCTAAGCAACGCATATATTCTATATTTTAGAGTGTGATTAGTTTGCTTTATTTTTATTTTCATTTATGTTTTAAGCAACGCATATATTCTATATCTTAGAGTGTGATTACTTTGCTCTTTTTTATTTATCTTTTATGCAAAGAATACATTCTACATTTTAGAGTGTGATTACTTTGCTATATTTTTATTTATGTTTTATGCAACGCATATGCATTTTTTTTTAAACAATTAGTTAATCCATTTTCTCTTTTATCTCTCATAATTCATATCCAATGTCATATAAAAGGATCACAAACATGCAATACGCGACTGAACCACGTGGCTTTGTTTACAGTTTTAGTGAATGATTGACAGTTTAACCCTTCCCGATCAATACATTCGTATATGTGCTATACATGTATATGTAATATGATTATGAAATATGGATAACATATAATTGAAATATGGATTATATTGAAAATAATACATTTTCTTTTTTATTGATTAATACAATGATCTCTCGTAATATAACGCGCCTTTCTGATCCTCTTTAATTACTGACTTACCCCCACGCTACAATTCAGGTGGTGTAATGTTCTCTCACAGTAATCACCCGGACTTTCGCCCCCGAAAACAGGTAAGCTGGTACATTCCTGGGGTTTACATTTGACCAGGTGTAGCAATGTCCAGACGACCAGGTTAGACCACCGTCCGTATGATTTCCCCATGTCCTGTCCCTCCACCAGGTACCATTAGCATGACTACAGGTAAGTTTCAATAACATTAAACAGGAAGTAATTGTGATTGGCTGACATACATAATAAAGCGGTGCACCCGTATTCAGGTCAGGTTATTAACAGTTAAATGGACAGACACTAACATCATCAGATGTTTATTTTTGTTAATCATGATAATTGAAATAATAAAGTATGTAAACCATGAACCCAGAAGAAGTTTTTTTATATAAATATATTTTCAAATTGGATATTTCTGAGGAGGTCTGGGGGGAATTCCCATTAAGTTTAACGTCAAAAGGGACCACGGTATCTGTCTTTATCATATCATTTGATATACAGCCAACAATTATATAAGGATGCATAAAAATTGTTCATTGGATCTCTCTCTCTCTCTCTCTCTCTCTCTCTCTCTCTCTCTCTCTCTCTCTCTCTGTACGGGGAGGGGGATCATGCAAGACCGACAACGGAAGGAGTGACAAGAAAGAAATCAAACTGAAGACATTAGGTACTATGCACAACAAAATTTTAAATTCATGAAATCGTCAGATTCAGTTTCAATTTTAGCATAAGAGAATATATAAATTATAATTATGCCCATATTATGATCATGTTTCTGCTATAGTTAGTGCACTTCAATGCACACGAATTATGCATGTATAAAAACAAGTATGTAAGGTCAACCTTAAGATTTTATTCCCTTAAATTACGGCACCGTATATTATTATTGAATTAAAGGGGGGGGGGGGTCCTTTGTTAGTGACGGATTGCGTCTGTATCAAAAATTAACGTCTCTAAATAGTGGAAACTAATATACAAACGCACACAGGGGAAATGACTACTAGAAGTGAAGGCTTTTAAATTAGATCTTTTTCTTTCTATCAAGCATGCACGCAAAGGGATACCCTAACAAAAAAATACTATAGTAAACTATAGTTAGCTATAGTTTACTATATATAACTATAGTAAATCAAAGTTCCAAAGTTTTCACTATAGTAAATCAAAGTTCCAACGTTTTCACTATAGTAAATCAAGGTTCCAAAGTTTTCACTATAGTAAATCAAAGTTCCAAAGTTTTTACTATAGTAAATCAAAGTTCCAAAGTTTTTACTATAGTAAATCAAAGTTCCAACATTTTTACTATAGTAAATCAAAGTTCCAAAGTTTTCACTATAGTAAATCAAAGTTCCAACATTTTTACTATAGTAAATCAAAGTTCCAAAGTTTTTACTATAGTAAATCAAAGTTCCAACATTTTTACTATAGTAAATCAAAGTTCCAAAGTTTTTACTATAGTAAATCAAAGTTCCAAAGTTTTTACTTTAGTACTATAGTTAACTATAGTAAACTATAGTTAACTATAGTTTACTATAGTATTTTTTTGTTAGGGTAATCCGAATTATCCACCAAAAACTCCGAAAAGACTTTTTTAGTGTGGCTCGTGATATGTACATAAACATGTATAAAGAAAATTTTAGGGGATCCAGTGTCATACCGTATATGTATAAGACAGCGGAATATTAATTGGCAAAATTGGAAATATGCAGCTTACATCATTTTCACCTGTTACAATCAAAACCTTTAATGATAGACAATGGAATGGGCGGGTACAATTCGGCACGGACGTCCGAGAAAACATTGGATTGAAATTCTAGTTTGAAAATCATTTTCAGTCCATCTCAGCTACGCTAGAAGGCAATGAGTTACTGATTGACCCAGAGGACAAATAATTTCAATTTCGGAATATTTGTGAAGTTTAAATATATAAATCAGAATTTCTGACCAGTGTTTTTAAAGAAATATAAAGGGACAAATATTTGATTTCTGTTAGGTACATGTATGTGCATGCATGTGTTGGGGGGGGGGGGGCTGATCTTGGAAATAAAAAAGAAAGTTGTTTTTTTTTTCAGTTTTGAAAACCCCTCCCTGTTTTTGATTGTCAAACATTTTTTCAATGAAGACAAAACTAAAGAAAATACCTCTTGTCATCTTAGAAACAAATATATTTTGTCATATGAAGGTATGATCTGACTCGACAATTTTTTACCTCCCCCCTTTCTATAGAATCAAATAGCCATCCCCTGAAAAACTAATCTCTGTCTTCTATGATTTACTTGTCCTTAAAATTATAGGCTAAAAACTCATATAAACAATGATAAATATGAATTTCAAACATGCAACGTGTATTTTGGGGAATTGAAATTATTTGTCTTTTGGATCATACATTCACACTCTGCGTTTAAAAACAGCTCAGGTGGATTGAAAATGAATTTCAAACTAGAATTTCAATCCAATGTTTTCTCGGACGTCCGTGCCGAATTGTACCCGCCCATTTCATTGCCTATCATTAAAATTTTTGACTGTAACAGATGGAAAAGCCGTAAGCTGTATAATTTCAATTTTGCCCGTTGATTTTCCGCGGTCTTATGTCAATCATATAAAATCGAAAACTAAAGCTTATGGACTGAACGGATTCAACACCACCCCCACCCTCACCCCCCCCCCCCCCCACCCCCACCCTTTCCCCGCTTCATCGGATCTGGTCCTGTTAATTAAGTAATTGAAACTCTTGTGTATATATGTCCCAAATCAAGACAGATCACTTTCAACAATCCTTAATTAAAGAACAATCATAAATGCTCACTCCTCCATGGCACCTGATCCCACCTTGTTTTTAGAGGTCCGTGTTGTCTCTGCTCATTATTTGTATTGTTTGATTGGACTTTTGAGCACAGATTAATGTTCGTTATTGTCACAATTCCTCTTCACTACCTAGAATGCTACATGTGTAGTGCACTACTTAGAATGCTACATATGTAGTGTTCATAATGTATTATCGTTACTTGAATGCTAAAATCTTTACAATGATATGTGATAACATATAAATTTGAACAAAGATAAGACTATACGTTTCTGTACTGTTAAGTAGCAGTATGTAATCAACTTCTAAAAATTTGCAATAAATGAAGCATTTTTTTTATATTTTGTGCAATGTATGAATTTTACAAATATTTCTGAAACTCGAGCAAACTCGTGATTTAACCCCAAATCTTACTATTATGCTAAGCTATTTTCTCTATTTAAAAAGTATTAAAAAGGTGACAATAAGCCTATGAAGTACATGTATTTCTAGTTGAACTCCGGTTGTCGCTTTTCTATGCAAAAATTGAGTTCATATATATGATATGCTTGAAATTTTCGCTCCAACATGATCCGTATATAGTAACCAAGAAAGTTTATTCCCTCTATGTAATACAGGTAAAATTGAATCATGTGGCCTTTGTTTTAGATGACATGACCTTTAGATAAAAAGATCAATACCATGATATTGCACATTTGTGACTTCCTTGATAATTTCGCGGAACATGGAAACAATTAAAAGAGCTAAGTCCGCTTAACCCCTGAAGTGTGTGCACTGTCGGCTTCACAACGTGTTTCGGTTTCGGTTAAGACTTTTTTCCTTCAATTTTACACTTAATTGTGATAAATTTTATTCTGATTATGACTGATGAGGAACTTTAAGACATGAAAAAAAAAATCATTAAAACGATAAGAAAGTGGTGATTTGGACCCTTAGTTATGCAAGAATAAAGCTACAAAACTTTTTTTTTAAGAAACTGATTTTCCAGTAAAAATATGATTTATTAGAGTGTATTTTCTGAATAAATATATGAGCGATTGTAATTCGATACATGATTACCTCAAAAGGAAGAAGCTGAAATTCATTAATTGTACAGAACGAGTCGGGGTTCAAATCCTATTCTATATTTTAAGCATGACATGAAAAAGAAAATATTTCTCCTATGATATATTTATTGGCTATCATTTTGTGAATTTTAAGTTTACTAAGTGGAGGTATCACCATGTTAACGTTGTACATTTTGCATTTACCTCCACATATAGTAAATTCGATTCAGTCAAAATTTTACAAATTATATTGTGATAAATGCTGGACTTTCTTGGGCACTGAAAAATTGTCTTTTGAAACTGGGAAAGTTTTCGCCCCCCCCCCTTTTTTTTTTTACATGTAACCAAATTGGTAAAACTGTACAACTTGCTGAGTTTATCTGGAAGATTCTAAATTAAATAATTTAAATTCATTTATTCACGATTTTTTTATTATGCATATACTTTAATATTCCTTACAAAATTGGAATTGCCTTTGATAATGGATGAGAGTGGACCCTTTCACCATATCCAGATTCATTCGATCGACAACCATAGTGGAAAGCATCAAGATGTGAATCCACTACACTGGCAGTCATATAGAGAAATTAGAAATACAGTTATTAATGAAATTCGAAAATCCTGTGAAAAGTATAACAAAAAAATGTCGTCAATGATTGATAAATCGATTCCTCCCGGGAAATGGTGGAGGATTGTCAAATCAATATCAAAACTTAATAAAAATTATGAACCATTACCACCATTAAAATCAAATGGAAAACTTATTTTTCATCCAATAGAAAAAGCTTTAGTTTTAAATAAATATTTTGCCCAGGTTTCCTCCATTAATAACGAACCAGATATTCCTCTTCATGGACCCGGTCCACCACAACAGAATATTAACATTTTTCCTGAAATAATTATCACAGAAGCTGAAGTTTATGATCAATTATGTATCATTGATAACAGTAAACCTCCTGGTCCTGATGGCATATCTCCAAGAGTGTTAAAAGAAATCTCCATTTCAATTAAAAAGCCTCTGACAAATCTCTTCAATATGTCATTAAGGGAAAAAAAGCTACCAGACATCTGGAAATTATCACAGATTACACCCGTCTTTAAAAATAAAGGGAGTGCTCAAGAAGTATCTAATTATAGACCAATATCTCTTACAAGTGTTCTGTGTAAAATAATGGAAAAAATACTTTTTAAACATTTACATAATTTTATGAATGATAATAATATTATATACAAATATCAGTCTGGTTTCCAACCTGGAGATTCAACTGTCAATCAACTGGTAGAGATATATAATACTATTATTTCAAATCTTGATAAAGGAAAAGATGTAAGATTTATCTTTTGTGATATTTCAAAAGCATTCGATAAAGTATGGCATAAAGGCCTGTTAACTAAACTAACAAATTATGGTATTAATGGCAATGTATTAGGTTGGATTGAGAATTATTTGTCTGATAGACAACAAAAAGTTGTAATAGATGGTTTTACATCAAACCCTGAAACGGTAAATGCTGGTGTTCCTCAGGGTTCTGTTCTGGGACCATTTCTATTTCTTTTGTACATTAATGATATTTGTGATGATCTAGTTAATAATATAAGACTCTTTGCTGATGACACTTCTTTATATGCTATTGTAGACAATGGAAATGTAGCACAATCTCTTACTGATGATCTAGAACATATTGATAAATGGTCAAAGAAATGGCTGGTTGATTTTAATCCTAATAAAACTGTGAATTTAAATTTTAGTAGAAAAAACTTTGTATATTCTCCTGTTAAATTTGGCGAACACGGCCCAGATATTATTCAGAAAAATTCTCATACTCATCTAGGCTTACATTTTCAAAGAGATGCCACGTGGACATCACACATACAAATAATTCATGAAAAAGCTACAAAAAGATTAAACATTCTTAGAATGCTTAAGTACAAGGTTACACGTAAAACACTTGTTAAAATATATTTTGCATTTATTCGACCTGTAATGGAGTATTCTGATGTTGTTTGGGACAATTGTTCTGAAAAAGATTCTAAACTTTTAGAAGACATACAAGTTGAAGCAGGCAGAATTATCACTGGATTAAGATGTAACTCTTCTCGTTCAAAATTGTATGATGAACTAGGATGGGATCTTCTAAAAACAAGGAGAAAAATTCATAAGCTTATATTGTTTTATAAAATTATTAATGGTTATTCCCCTCAATATTTGTATGATTTGATTGAACCCTATCGCCCATCAATTCATTCTTATAATCTCAGAACCAATGTTGTACAATTCAAAATTCCTAATATTAGAACAACATCTTATATGGAAAGTTTTCTTCCCTCTACAGTCAAACAATGGAATATCTTGCCAGATTATATTAAAAATGCTCCTGGAATATGTTCATTTAAGAGTCTCTTAAAATCCTATTTTTGTAGAAAAAGTAATGAACTTTTTCATTTTGGAGTAAGAAAATATAATATAATACATTGTCAGATAAGGAATAATGCCAGTAATTTGATGGCAGATTTATATAATCAATGTTTAGCAGAAACTCCAATGTGTGAACATTGTGCTGGCAGTATTGAAGATGCCTACCATTACTTTTTTGTATGTCCAAGATATACAATTCCAAGAAATGTACTTTTTCAATCAATACATAATATTATAAATTGTGACTATATATCTGAATGTGATTTATTGTTAAATGGTAGTTCTAATCATGGACTTGATATTAATATACAAATATTTGAAGCTGTACATACATTTATAGCAGCAACAAAGCGATTTATATAAACACTGTCATATACATATGTGGTATATTGTAATATTTTCAATTTTTCCAAACCGGTACTACTTTGTACTCTTGCTTATCTTTTTTTTTTTTTTTTTTTTTTTTTTTTTTATATATATTATTATTTTTTTTATTTTTTATTTTCTTTTTCTTTCCTTTTGCAATTTTGCTTCTTTTGCCTTCTGTAATTTTGTTCATTTTTGTTTTTGCTTTCTTCTTTTGTACATTCTTACTTTTGCTTTAATAATTAATTTACTGTGTATTTGCCTTGACCTTGATGTAGGGAGAGGGCTAAAATAGGCTGAGCCTGCTGCCCAATCCTATTCACTCTTACATCTGTGAATAAAATATTGTTTAAATTAATCAAGATGTGTAGAAATTTTGTTTTGTCCAAATTTTTACTTCACCCCCAAAATATATCCTACATTTATTATAAAATTCTATTATTGTTTAGTGATTGGAAATTGTATAGCCTTGTTACAACATAGCCTAAATAAAAGCCTGAAATACGATCGATCAAATTAATCATCAAATGTTCCAAAATTTCCGGGTAAATTATGTCTACTGTAACTGACAGATTTTAAAATTAGTGATCATCATTGCGTTTCCTGTAAGACTATTAACTTCGTTTTGACGAAGATGGGACGATAAGCATCAAAGACTGAACACAAAGTCTGAATTAGATACTTCTTTCATATATTGTCGTAATGTATTGGGGTCGATGTATTTATTTTTTAAGTGAGAAAATCATAACTCTGTTATTCCTACTGTTAAACAAAAACAGGTGCGTTTTGTTGTTGTTGTTGTTTTGTTTTTTTTTTGTTTTTTGTTTGTTTTTGTTTTTTTGGCTGAATTGTAATTTCTTTCATTTGAAAAAAAAGTGCTTACTGTGCTATTGTTTTTTTTTCTGCATATAAATTTAACTCTGAAGATTTTTTTTTCACAGCATCAGCATGTGAAATAACCTTCCTATCGCCACTGTGACTGTATAATATCACCGGTGAATAATGGAGTACGATGATAATTTTGACGATTATTACGATGACGCCAATATCTACGATGAAGAGGATTTGGAGAAAATGTTGGCTGGTTATACCGACTTTGATTATGGTGATGAAATGGAGTATGCTCGGATTTCATTCATGGATCTGGCAGAGAACTGCCTCTACCCTACCTTACAGCAAACAATTCATATGTTGGCTCCATTGTATGTTTTGTGTATCACAACAAGGGTTGTTTGTGTGGTGGGGTATTCAGGTAATTTAAGATTGTTGAATTTTCAGTAGGAGGGGTTTTTGTACATTAATTATGAACAATCAAACAGAAAATTTCTTCATACTTATCAAAGCAGAGAACATGAATAATTAATAATTAGTGTATACTTAAGTCAGCAGTATATTAAATTGTAAGGAAGGAAATTTATCATACCTAGATGTGTGTTTTAGGGACAAGTAAAATATTTTGATTGTTGACAAATGGGATGTAATGTTGCATTATTTTTTTTTTCCATTTTGCATCTATCCAGAATTTTAACAAATTTTGAATATTTCTAATTATGGTAACTATATTGTCTTTCAATTAAAACTTTTACTGTTGCTATTTTGTTGTTGTTTTTATTTTTAACAGATACAGAAGATCGTCCCATTCCCCGGTGGTTACTCAATATCTGCATCAGTCTAGGGGGACTGTTAGCACTCTATATGTTTTTTGGTAACAACATTGTCTACCTGCTTGTCTGTGCTGTATCTGTATACACAATCCTGCTTGTTACATCATGGAAATTTCAGAACATTTCAGGAGTAACAGTGGCAGTCTGTATCTTCCTTTTCATTGTGATATGGTAAGTGATAATAATACCATCTCAGAAAGCATATGTTTTGAAAAAGCCTACTAGCATAGTGAATAAAATCTTTGATTTACTACTAGTATTTCATAAAGTCAATAAGCATATTAACATGTGTATTATAAAGCCAACATTTTTTAAATTTTTTTTTCGTATTTTGTAATTTGGTTTGTGTTTGAATTTTCAGAATGATATTTTAAAATTTAAAAATTAAAAATATATTTCCTGCAGATACATGTATATGTTGCTCTCTGATCTGAAAAAAAAATTGGGTGGTTTACTATAATCCCATTTTTTTTAAACATTGAGCTAGAAATACATGTAATTTTATACTATTATTTTTTCTTTGTTTTTGATAATTTATTACAGTGAGTTGTTTGTTGTGGATGAAAAAGTCTGGCACAGTGTGAGAGGTAAGGCTTGCTGATGTTTATGGAATTCATTTTTCAGTGGATGTTTCACAAAAGCATAAAACTAATTTTTAGCTCGTTAACCCCTTTCTCTCACCTGGGCAGAATATCTGTATTGAAATCAGCATTCCAGTTAAGAAGTCTATAGTTATAGGTGCCCTAATAGTAATATGGTGATATTTAGCATTTATGATTTATTTTAGAGCCACTGTTGTCTTTTCTTACAATGCACTATGCAGAACTAGTAAATGTATACTACTGGATTGTCAGTTTCTGGTAAACTTTAAAAAGAAGATGACTGTAATGGCAAATGTATTTTCTAGTACAAGTAAAAATAATTTAAATATAATACAAGATCATTGTAATCTTTTATTCCAGGTGATCACTGTAATCTTGTATTCCAGGTGATCACTATAATTTTGTATTCCAGGTGCACAGATAATGCTCTCTATGAAACTTATAGGACTTGGTTTTGACATCACATCAGGCATTGTATCCTTGCCGGCCTTTACAGATTATATGGCATATATCTTTTGTGCAGGAAATGTCATCTTTGGGCCTTGGATGCCATTTCAAGACTTTAAAAGTCTCTACTCCACAAGTATATCAAAGTGCCTTGTAAGTTCTGAGTAAAAGTGCTCCATTAATGCCTGTATTATTTGACTGACCTCTTACTGTGACTAAAAGTCTTCTTAAAAAATGGTAGATTAGTGAAATATGGATGGAAAATTAGATTCTTATACACAATCATAAGCCTTTTAATGATAATGCACATGTATACATACATGTATATCACACATGTACATGAATTATATGGGAAGTTATTTTTTGTCAGGTTTAAGTTGGATTCAGAAAACCGGTAAAACATTTTCAGAACTAAAGGGTGATCATCCTTCTGCTCAACAAAATGGAATTTTTCTTGTAACAGGAGTTGTTTCCCCTAACATGGTCATTACTCCTTAAAATGTTTTAATACATACATATTTGTTGTCATTAGGATGTAGATTGGATGACTAAAGTGATGAAATCCAGTTTGTTTTCTGTCCTCTGTCTTTCCTTCTCCACCTGTTTTGGATCCTGGATCATTCTAGACAGTAATTACAAGTAAGTGTTCTAATACCCCTCAAAAAAATCTATTGTTCTTAATTGTGTGTTCAGTTCATCAATGTATATTATGTACTATTTGTGCCCAAGAAATTGTGTATTTTAACTTATGGGTAATTGAATGGTGCAATTTCACATTCAGGCATTGCATTCTGGTAAAAGTTGAAATTCAGCAAATGGCAGTGGTTGCAAAATTTTGAAACTGGCTCTATGTTGCAAAAATAAGCCTTATTCTAAAAATGAATGTAATTCAATTTTCTTTTTGCACATATTTTGGTGGAGAAAAAAATCAAGTCATGGATTATGTTCAAAACAAAGATTTCCAATGACACCAATGCTATAAATGTGGGCAGATTATTAATAATGTTTGATTTTTCGATGAGAAATTCAGTGACTATTTCTAAATGGGCAACACTTCCAAATTCTGACATTCTTCACACTGATTGCTTTATCTATTTATATATTGTGTATATGTTAACATATATTGAATCATGATACTTGTTTTAGTTTTGTTTGTAGGTGGGCTACCCAGAGCTGCCCATACCTGAATGTTTTATCTATTTATGATGTGTGCCCACTTATACTGAATTATGTTACTGTTTTGTTTGTAGGTGGGTTCGTGCTTACAGAGATGCCCAGTCATTCAGATTTAGCCATTATTTTGTGTGTTTTATCTATCTATGTTATGTGCCCACTTATACTGAATTATGTTACTGTTTTGTTTGTAGGTGGGTATGTGCTTATAGAGATGCCCAGTCATTCAGATTTAGCCATTATTTTGTGTGTTTTGTATCAGAGACTACCGTAGCTCTATCTGGAATTAACCCCAGTGAGATTGACTAGTGAGTATTTGTCAGTCTCAGTGAGATCAACTAGTGAGTATTTGTCAAACTCAGTGAGATCAACTAGTAAGTATTTTTCAGTCTCAGTGAGATTGACTAGTAAGTATTTTTCACACTCAGTGAGATCAACTAGTGAGTATTTTTCAGTCTCACTGAGATTGACTAGTGAGTATTTGTCACACTCAGTGAGATCAACTAGTGAGTATTCATCAAAGTCAGTGAGATGGACTTGTGAATATTTATCAAACTCAGTGATATCGAGCAGTGAGTATTTGTCAGTCTCAGTGAGATTGACCGGTTAGTATTTGTCAAACTCACCATCTTTTTTTTTGGTAGATTGACCAGTAAGTACTGATGATTGTCAATCACACTCACAGCGTCTTTGATTTTTGTAGACAGTATATTTTGTAAGTAAAAAATACAGTGAAACTTGTCTAATCCGGATAAGTCCCTTTCAGTAATTTTAATTGTTTAAAATGTTGTTTAATCCGGAATGTTGTCTTCATTTTTGTTGTTTTCAATGTTGTTTTCATTTTTTCAGTGGTGTGACCGTCACTCGACCATTACACATTGAATTTCCAAGATCTCTAGTTGAAGTTGTAACAAATTGGAATTTACCTATGCATAATTGGTTGAAAAACTGTAAGTATAAAACATTTTTTACATTTTAACATCATCTTTTTTTGTTTTGGAAGTACATATACATGTACCTGTTAATGTTAAAGGTAATTGATTATTTTTTTTATTTAGATGTGTTCAAAACAGCTCGTCCATATGGGACATTTTTAGCCGTCATTTTAACCTACGTAGCAAGCAGTCTGCTTCATGTGAGTCTGTTATAATCACTCTAGGAATGGTTTTGAAATACTGGTACTCCAAAAATATAATACAAAGAAAATAGACCATGTACATACATGTATTTTTTAAATTTTCTTTTTTTTTATTACAGGGCCTTAATTTTCAGTTAGCAGCAGTTCTATTATCACTGGGGTTTTATTCCTATGTTGAAATGGGTAAGGTGTTGATTATTTTGAAAAGTATAAGGTATTTATTATTTATTTAAGATACTGTCTTAAGATATATGTAAATTTATTTACATATTGTTGTACAATGCATTGGTGCAATGCAATGCAATTCTCTTCCAGCAGTCAGACATATTATTGCAATTTCTTCAGTGCATGTGATGTTACAACTATAAAACACAGTTAAATTAAAACAAGAAAGTACTTGTTATCAAATTTTTATGAAGTCGAGCTGAAGTTAATATATACTATGTGTGTCTTCAGTTTTCAGGAGGAAGTTAGCCCGGGTATTTGATGCGTGCTTGGAGGCACGGTCCTGTAGAGAAAACTGCTCCCACACTTACAAATATGTAAGAATTTTTCTTGAATACTGAAACTTGTTTCAGAATCATGTTATTGTTTAAAAGATCGAATAGAAAACAAAAAACATTTTTTTAAATGTGTTTTAAGAATTATTATTTAAAAAGACAGTAAAAGTAATTTTTTTTTTTGAAAAAAAAAATTGATTCATATATACATAAGAGTTATTTTATTCTACTGAGTCAATTTATGTAATAATTTGATACCTTTTCATTTTTGTATCAAAATTCAATAGTGTTTAAGCTAAATATATCCAAAATATAAGTGGATAACATCAGGGGTACATTTAAATGACTGTTACTTTTAATTTTTATAGAACCACCCTTTTGTGTGGCTTACAAACCTTTGTTTTGGGTGTGTTACAGTGTTTCATTTAGCCTACCTGGGTCTAATGTTTGACAGCAGTGTCGAGGCTGAAAAGGTCAGAGTTCAAACACCTGTTATTTATTTCCAAATATACATTTATCTAAGGAATTTTTTGAATAATATTTTTTTCTAATGAAAATTTCTGTAAATAAATGAAAACAGTATTTTGTGGATGACATAAAGAAGTAAATGATTTTTGACAAGTTTTAATAAGATACATGTAGCAGTTACTCAGTTAGGATATTGTAGTTTGATTTATTTATTTGATATCACTCTACCAATAAGTACAAATATATATCATGTTCTGAAAGAATAGTTAAAAATATTATGAATCAATTCAAAAATGTTGACATGTCAAAATATACACATGTATACTTTAATTTTATTCCTATTACATAAACTTGTCACATGATTTTCAGTAGTCAGACCAAGTGCCTCACTATTTAACCTTGTAATTTTTCATTTTCTTTACAGGGTTACAACATGTCCCACACACTACAGAAATGGTCAGATCTGGGATTCCTTAGTCACTGGGTCATACTAGGAACTTACATATTTCACTTAATGGTGTAATAACCCCTCCTTCTTAACATTTTTTAGAACTTCAAGATAGACAATGTTGCAATTTTGCAAAGGAAATTTGGAAATGTACTTGCTACCATAGCGTGCAATGTGATACATATCTTAAAACTGTAGTTGCAATACCATCCCCAGCTGTGTTTTATATATAAACTGATCTCCAGCAATCTCTCTTGCTTTAAAGTAGTTAGCTGTGATGTTCATTGATTGCCATGACATAGAGTTGTTTTGCATGGTTTGTATTTGCACATATTTACAAAGATTGCTCTGATAGGAGCTTGTTATTGTGGTGCCTACCTTATGTGTGATTAGTGAATAATTCTGTAAATCACTTTTTACTCGCGAGAACTTTATTTTTGCGTAATTACGTGAGACTATCTGCTTGCAAAAATTTCATTATTATGTTTAATTCTATTACTAAAGATTATATAGAGCATTAACCAAAATTCTTGAAAATTTTTTCGCTTGTACCTACCAAATAACAGTCTCGCAAACATAAAGTGTCGCAGAAATTGAGTGATCTACAGTATTAGGGTATTGTACTGGTATTTTGATAACAAAGTTGACGCAGGATACAGTACCTGTACGTGTATTGGGAATCAAAAAGTTAAGATATTTTCAACAATGTTCTTTGAACTCCCCCAGTATTTACAGATTTTTGATACATTTTGAATGGATTGTTAGTTTGTGATTTCTCAGATTTTCTCCAGTATTTGGAAAGCGTTATCATTTTCTTTCTTCAAGATTATGGGCATTTGTACCAATTAGTACACCATATTGATATGTACCATAGTTCTCATATTGTTTTTATTTGACATTGTTAAAATGAAACATTGCATTTTACCAGTAACTTGTATTTGTTGTGAAAGAATTAATCATAATTCACTTGCAAAGTATGTTTTGAGTAACGTATATTGCCTGGAGGGTTTTCTTTTTGGTAGAGAGATGGGTACACGGAGGGTTTTAGATATATGAATCATTGGGACCCCTATTTGCTCCACAGGGCACAAAATGTATTTTCCTTTTACATTTGCATACATGTATTCCTACTATTATTTTGAATCTTGATATAAACTTTCACTCTTTAAATTTCAGCAAAAAAATGTTTAAAAAGTCTTCATGGTTTATACATATTTTTGACTCTAGGTGACCCTCATTGCTTGAAGTATTTGATTCTTTTTAACACACAGAGATGTCTTTTGTCTTGCATGTGTACCAGAATTTGTCATTAATATTCCTGATCATTTTTTTTAATATATTCATTGTTTCCTGCTTTGATGTCATCTTCTCCACATTTGAGAGACTAAAGGAAGGTATATTTTACTTAAAATATTAGGAGCTTAAATTAGTTGTAGCATATGTACATATGTACCTGTGCCAAGCGCATTAAATTGATAGATGCAAATATTTAAACCGGTATTACATATAATTATTTAGGATCATTTGCAAGTTCATGTCATAGTATATACATATATATATATATATATATTTCCACATAATGTGTACATGTATTTTGATAGCCTACATATATTGCTCCATGGTGGAGTTAAAACTGGGTAGTGTAATAGTACTTAGTCTAGTCAAATTAGTATTTTTTTAGGTTGTTGTGTATAAACTTACAGTTTATTAGTAACTCGGCAAACATTACATGTATGAAGTACATATGTACTTAATAAAAACAGTTTTATTGTCACAAGTAAGGAGGACAAGATATCAGGCTATGTTATTGAAGTTTATAGGACCATCTTAATAGTAAAACAAAACGCTGTAAATTAATATTTTTACAGTAAAATATCAATCGGCAGCCTCTCTGTACAAATAAATGTACGAGTGTTGATGGACAAGCTCTCCTAGACTTCAAACAGTGATACATTGTTCTGATTTCAATGGTCTCTTTTTTTTGTTGTGGTGCTTTATCAATAGTTTGTTTTGATATTAACCTTATATTCCCAATGTTTACAGCTCAATTTACTTGTTTTGCTTTGTGTTTATTATTTTACAAGATATTTTGTTTTGTTATAATTTACAATGTACCTTCCTTTTATACTTCATAATTGAAAAAAAAGACCATGTTATAACAATTACTGTGAAGACTGTCTCCCTTACACCAGTCTATAAATCATGTCAAAAGTTTCAGTACTAATGTAGTACAATGCTAGAATCTCGTACCTAGTTGAATGTTATAAATTCAGTTTTCAGCTTTAAGCATGCTTGTTAAATATGTTCTACTTTGGTAAAGATCCTGTCCTTTGTAATGATATCAATAAATTAGTTTTAAACTTTAAATGTGCTTGTTTTTTTAATGTCCCATTTTGGTATATATCAATCACTTGATGAATACACAAGTTATCCTTAAATTTTAATTTATTTGCTAAGGATAATATTGTTGTCAATATTATTACAAGTGCAGTTAAAATTCTTACTGAAAAAATTGTATCCCACCTAAATATGTATTGTTGAAGGATGTTGATTTCATGACATAAAATAGTTGAACTTCCTTATCTTGAACCCTGATATCTTGAATACCAGGAATATGTGAAAGTCATTTGGCAGTCCCAACCAGTTTTTCTTTGTTTTTAACCTTGTGCTCTCAAATCCTTGGATATCTCAAAGTCTAATATTATTGGTCTGCCATTTCAAAGGTACTTCTATTGGAAAATCCCTTTGTTTTGTTAATAAATTGTACACCCCTGTGACTCGTACACCATGTGATTAAAGTTCAAGTAAGCCTAAATTGACCAAAACTTTATTCAGATGTAGGATTTAACCTACATTTTCCAAAAGAGTGAAAAGATTTAATTTAAGGAGCTTCAATTTCCAAAGATATCATGACCAAATTGTGTGGAGGATGTATCTCGGGATGTACATTAATTATCACACTTGCTCACAGGCTGGATGTGACCTACATTTTCCCCATGTGATAGTTTAAAATTTTTGAACCAGGTCCATTTTAAACTAACTATAAGCTTTATTTAGTCGTGACTGTATGGATGAGGCATCTAGAGATGAGTGACCAGTCTCGAGTTTTTAGAGCAAGTCCATATCTAGCTATAAGCCCTATATTGTTAACAAACTTGCATGGATGGTGGATATACATGTAGGGATGGATGCTACCAGACTTGCTTCAGAGGCTAGATCTGAACTTTGTTTTCCAGATGATCGAACAGATTAAAGTTTTTAAGAGCAGGTTCATTTCCATGTAACCAATAGACTAAGTCCTATCGAGACAAAATTTGCATAGGTGTTGCATCTACGGATGCACAGTACCAGAACATTCATTTTAGTGCAAGATTTTGCCTTACAGATTACATTTGTCAAAGTGTGCTTTGTAATCTTTCATTACCGAATATCTTTTTTTCCTAGTTGTATGACTTCTTAGCAAAACACAAATGTATGTATATTGTTATACCCCACCATGAATATGACCCGGGCATATAGAGTTTGTCATGTCCAGCTTCCGTCCTTCAATTGCGCTTTGTGTTTAGCTCAGTTCAAAGCTCAGTTTTAAAAAAACCAATCAAGATAGTGTTATCAAACTTCATATGCTGATACATATTGATGAGAGCTATTCAACTGCACCCACATTTTTTGAACTTGACCATTCCTTTGACCTTGACCTAATTTTTCTTAAATTAGTGTTTAGCTCAGTTTTAAAGAAACCATTCAAGAAAATGCTATCAAACTTCATATGCTGATACATACTGAAGTAAGCTATTCAATTGCAGCAACATATTTTGACCTTGAGCTGTACTTTGACCATGACCTCACTTTTCTTAAATTAGAGTTTAGCTCAGTTTTAAGGAAACCATTCAAGATAGTGTAATCAAACTTCATATGCTGATACATGTACTTACTGAAGTAAAGCTATTCAACTGCATCAACACTTTTTGACCTTGGCCTTTCCTTTCACCTTGACCTCACTTTTCTTAAATTAGTGTTAAGCTCAAGTTTAAAGAAACTATTCAAGATAGTGTTATCAAACTTGCTGTTGCATACTGAAGTAAGCTATTCAACTGATGTATTTTATTCAACTCCATCAAAATAATTTTTCCTTGACCTTTTCTTTGACCTTGACCTCATTTTTTTTTATAAATTAGTGTTTAGCTCAGTTAAAAAAAAAACATTCAAATTATTATGCTATCAAACTTAATATGCTGATACATATTGGTTAGTAAGAGCTATTCAACTGCATCAAAAACTTTTGACCTTGAACTCTCCTGTGACCTTGACCTCTCTTTTCTTTAATTTGCATTTTGCTTAGTTTTAAAGAAACCATTTATTTTTATGTAAGCTCATCATCTATATCCAATTTTTTTCATTTCATTTTCAATTTTGAAAAAAAATATTCAAGATATACTCATCGAACTTCAAATTTTCATGTTGCATTACTAATATACCCTCAGCAGGGCATTCATGTCCTATGGACATATTTCTTGTAGTTTGATTTTTCTGTTAAAATCAACACACGTCAACACATACTCAGGGTATACACAATTGGTCCTGCATAGATTTTCTTCAGCATTTTTGAAGACAAATTAAAGATGACATTGTTCTGTGGACCCGTTTTTGTCCGTTTTAGTATTTAAACTCTACAGCACTGTAAATGACATAAATGTATACCTAACAAACTTGATAACCCATTTAGATTTCATCCATATTTATTTGGTTTACGTACATAAATATTCTTATTAATAACTAGCAGCGCAATGTTACACACCCACAGATTCTGAATATAAGAAATAACAAACAAAAGTTTAAATATAACAACATAAAATGGACTTAACAATACAAAGAATGGATATTATTATTAAGTAGGATGAATATAGAGACACACATATCATTGCTGGTGAATATGGAAAATTATGGATAAAAGCTACAAAGCATTACATTATACATAATACAGTCAGGACTTCTTAGCTTCTTGATCTGATATTTAGTTTTCCATAATTTTTAAGGATCTTTCTTATTATCATTATAATCACTAGAATTAAAAGTTGTTTGTTGTAATACATAAATTAATTCATCTGGATTAACCTATGAGACAGATAAATCAAAAATTATTTGTCACTTCTGATTTTTTTTTTTTTTAAATAAGAAAAAAAATATCTAAGTAAATTCCTCATGACTATAAAAATAATTTATATTAAACAAAAGTTTGAGAAATTACAGTATAGGAATGTGCTTAATTTAGTGCCAATGTAGATATGGGACATTTGGTGCAACCTGAAATTACCATATCCATACTAAGATAAATTTAATACATGCTATCCATTTACATGCACATAAGCACGAATTAGTGCAAAAAGGACTATGCCAAAGTATATAAACATACATGTACAATGAAAGTAAAATGTACAGAAATGCATGATTAACCCAACAAACAAGACAAGCAGATTTGAACATGCCATTAAAATGTACATGTACTTTTAAAATAATGGCTGCCCAAATCCAACTCTACATTAAACACTCTGTTAGTGCAATACAGACAATTAATTCACTGGTGTATCAAAATCTGATGATAAAAATCATATGAAGTGAAATTGCAAGGAATTTCAACAAACAAGTTTGTTTCTTAACATCACAAACTCTCCCAAACCCTATACAACACCAATCTTCAGTGTTTCCCACAGGACACAGACATTTATTGTCATTCTCTAACTGATATGTTGGAATGCATACAGGTACATACACTGACTAAAATTATTTGTAGGACAAACGTACATTCTTAAATTTAACAATACACAAACAGAGTGAATCTGAGATTCCTCACCTCAAACATTTGACAAAAAAAAAAGCTCATCTACATGTCAAAGGTCAAACCATCAAGCTACGTAATGTTTCAATTCTTCTATAAAAATTCATGATGAATATAATCTGATTGCTTTTAAAATACATTACAGTATAAACATATATATATATATTTTTTGCAACATGCATTATGAACATGAAAATTATATATAGTACTGTAATAAGATTTATAAGACATACAGTTTTATCCAGAAAAATACTTTCATCATTAATTTTAGAGAAAATAAAATATTATATTGGATTGAGTGTAAAGATACATAATATACATGCATCAATATCGTGATTACACAAAATTAATGTAAATTGCAATCAAGCATGTCATTTAAGGGGATGAGGGGCATTCTACCGAAACTTTTGATGGATATAAACTTCAAAATTGTGTCCATGCCCCTTTAAATGATACATGTATGTATGAAATTTGAATGAATACCATATAATGTTTTTCTATGGTCAGAAATAAATAATTTCAAATTAGATTTTATTTTCACGACAGAAAAAATCAATGAATATTCAAAGTTTCTCTATTGAATCCTTAAAGAAATGTTCTGCTAAAATTAGAATTCGAGACACCTTCATTCCATAAACATGATAAATACATGAATATACTGCTTAATATGAAGTCATATTTTTTTGTACCACATATAATCTTTTACAAATTTCATGTCACTGTTTGTCATAATTAAAACGTATTCACATGAACACATATATCACATTCAAAGTTTTGTATTATTAATTAAGTTAATGATATATTGCCTAATTATTTTTTTCTTATCTCCAAATTATTCAAAAAAAAAAAAAAAAATTGTTGCAATAGATTTAACAATCACAAGTCTGCCCACTGATGTTTGAGATACGCCTGTTCTTTAAGCCATTTCCTCTGATACTAAAATCTCGGCTTCTTCAGGGAGTGGTTTCTTTGTTTCCAGGGCATGGGACTGCTGGGCTGAACTGTAAGAATAAAATACAAGACAATCTGATTCTAGTGAAACTCCAGGTACAGCCATTGTTGTTTCATGATCTATGAAATTTGTCAATGGTGCATTCTTTTAAGACTTAATTAGTACTTTTGTTATAGTTGGCGAAAAAAAAAAAGATACAGTCATGAGTTAATGTAAACATGTTTTCTGTGAATTAAAGTTGTTAGAATTTACTGACTTAACCTTTCAGAGGTGTAATACAATACTAACTCTACAATTACTCTCATAGATAAACAAAGAACACATACCTACAATGTAATATGTCACCAATTTATTGCTTGACGAAGTTGGAATCACATTGAATGAAAAAGTTTTTTTGACAAGTACTTTAACAAAGCACATACCTATCTTCACACTTCAACCCTTCAGTAAATATTCATTACTTTCATTTGGTAGAAGTATTCATGCTGTTAGTTAGGATCAGAGCCATCCCAGTTTGTTAGATAATATGCAGATAAATTTTCCTCAACTCTGTTCACATGCAGTTTATTTTCTGAAGCACTGTCCATGAATTTAGTTTTTTACAAGACAAATGCTACAATTAATACCATTTCTACCCAACCAATGGACTTTATTCACAGAGCAATGACCGTAGTTTACCCAGCTCAAAAAAAGTACATGCATTTTTTTGGTCTTAAATTCCTTCCCCTAATTTTTGGGCAGGTAGTAATTTTTTGCCATGAGATGTAGTATATGTATGTGTGTTTCCCATTTACCATGATACCTTGCATTCAAGCCTGTTTAATGTTACTAACTCTTCTGAAATCAGCAGCAAAAGAAAAAAAAAGTGACTAAGTATTTCTGACTCAACAAGATCAGCAATATATTAGAGCAAAGGAATATGAAGGATGTATTGTACCAGTAAATACAGAAACTCAGATTACTAGTAAGGAGAAAATGCACCTTGCTGAGCTTTATATATTAAATTATTTAATAATTATGTAACTGAAGAAATCCAGGCTTGTTTTTTTTACACTTCAATTGAAATAAACAATTTACATGTACATGTATAATAATGATTTTCTTGAAGAATGACATTTGTATACATTAATACAAGTATATTAAATTGATATAGAACATTCAAATTTGCTAATCATTTAAAGTTGGATTATGTATTTCTTTATTTATTGTAAACATTGTATTTCTAATGCTATAAAGAATAGATGCTGAGATGTTTATTACCGACATGTACTTTCTGAGTTTATGATCAAGCCTGGATTATCCCCCTTTGTCTGGTTTGTTGTTCAGCAGCTACGCTGAAAGAACAAAACAAACCAAACATTGCACAGAGCCAGAGGAGTATTGGACACATTTCTGAAAAGTTGTATGGGAAATTTCTTCCAAAATGATTAACTATGTTCAAGAATACATTTGCTGTTATTTTAAGAATTAATAATAAGTAAAAAAAATGTGAAAATATAAGACTTAGAAGAAAACAAACAAACAAGAGTAATACATGTACATTATATCCATGAACTTACAAAGTTTGATCATAGCTTTATTTCATAGTCCTACATGTACATCAATTGTGAAAATAATTCAGCGTGATTTTTTCCACTGTTCTTATACAGGTATACAGTGATTTTGTTGTTCCTAAGTTTACATATATGTTCAAAATAGCAGAACTATAATGTTTTTTTAGCAAATTTGTAAATTCATGTACACTACAGGTGATATGATAAAACAGAAATACAGCACTACCTGCCGAGATGCTTGTCAATAAAAGCTATAAAAAGCCATCTTATCAGACTGTGGTACTGACCTGTATAACCACTGTTGACAGACGGTGGCCAACATAAGGAACGCCACACAGCACTCAAATATCACCTTCATCTGCAGGTTCTGTAGTCAAAAATAATTGTAGTGAATATATGGCAGTTTTTATACAGTAGATTTAATGTAGAATAATAGAAAAGCACAAACCTGTAATAATATCACTACTACAATCATGTTCAATGGGACTCTGAAGAAATTCATGATGGTGGATCGAGCTGAAAAAGAAAATATTACTTCAAAATCTTATTCTGATAATTTCAAAATAAAACTGCATGGTTTAATTCATCCTTTAGGAAAAAAAATCATGGTATCCCACACAGATAAGCAGTAGGTAGTAATAATATGGGAAGATATGAATTTCATTTATGGCTGCAGTGTACTACATGTATTCACTGAAATGTAACAAGGACGAGTGAGAGAGTACTTACTATCATCGGGGACATATTTCCCTCTCATCTGTCCTAAGGATGGCCAGAATATACCAACACAACACTCAAATATTAGAAACCCGCAGAACACAATTAACTGGTGCTGAAAACAGACAAAAACACAGCATCACAAAACAACTAAAATTTCTCATTTACAGTAAAACATGCTTATAGCAAACATGCCAATAATGAATTGATGCTTACAGCATAGTGATTTTCATTCCCAGGGGCTCTAAAATATATTGTGGACTTAACCGATGTAACAAATTATGTTTATAATGAAGCAAAACCATCCATCCCTGGCACATCATTATAAGCATGTTTTGCTTTATTATTTATCTGGTGAATCGTTTATCATTTTTCTGAAAAATTACCAAGCTAAAAGTTCTTTTTTTTTTGCAGCTTCATGATAGTAGTGGAAATCTGGTTATTACAGAAAAGGTAATACATGTTACTGTGCACTTTGAGTTTTACGTGCAATTATAAACTATCTCTTTCATGTTTGAAGTAAAAATAAGACCTACCCCTTTGAATAAAATAGGTGTGGTAAGCGAGACTGCTGCAGTGAATAAAACAACTCTACAATAAAAAGAAGAAATTCTTTGTTTACACCTGAGTCAAACAAATGGGAAAAAAAACTTTAAATAAAATTTTACCTTCTTTTGTTTTTGTTTTTTCTCTCAATTGAGAATTGTGTTACTTCATGCTCCTGGGAAAATTGTTTACGTAAGAAAATACGTGCGCAGTACAGTTAAGGTGCCAAATGGAAATATCGGCGAATTTTTTAGATAGAAAATACATTATTTACAAGGATGGGCGTTTCTTTTTAGGACTTTACTATTATCAGACAAATGCAATGTGGTTGAAAACTACGTGTTGAGAACGATTAGATTTCTAATTTAGACTTGTCACGTGATGTGGCAGTCAGGTGATTTTAGCAAATATACCTGAAGTATTGAGGTCATCTATAAATTCTAATATTGCAAGGGCATAACCAAGTTAAACAATCATCTAAGTTTAAAATATAATTATTTTCAACACTCTTTGTAGTTTCTGAAAAGTGCTGCAAACCTATATAGATTCTACTATATCTAATTGCTAAAATTACATTTGTCAGACCGTATGTTGAATATTTTGCTGGTCAAGTACATTAAATATAGATATAATTAATTCATTTGCAAGATTTCAACAGGTTCGCAGCACTTTTCAAATATCTTCATACCTCTTGAGTTTATGTGTAAAAGCTTGTCGTAATTCATTGAGGGTATGCCCTTGCAATATATCGATTTATTACGACCCTTCTATTACCCTTCAATGAATCTGCAAAGAAATATACGACAGTATCGCTTGTCTAGGGAATGTACGGGAAGTATATGAATAAAATCATAAAATAGACATCGCATCCAAGTTAATCGCCTCTTATATATCTACAATTTATATTTTATATAATTACAAAATACCTTTTTCATTGTATAAATATAACTTGATCCGCCTCTCACTGCATACAAACGGCGTCAAATTTTACGATATGACGTCACATTGACAAGTGCATTGCGATCAGTGAATTGTTTATATATTGCTGTGTGGGATTTAACCAACGACAATAATGCATGCACTAGTTAGTATTGATCTAGTTTAAAGCTATTCAACAGTTTAAAATAGCAAATCATTTCATTTTGTGGTAATTTGAAGAACTTATATTTTTGTGTGATGTCATAGTAAGCATTTCCCGTATAAATTAGGCCCCGCCTCCTTACTGCAGCCTTAACTGTGCTGCGTGGGATTAATGAATAATTTCTCCACAGTTAAGTTAAACCAAACATTATACATGTCTTGTATTTGTTTACTTCTTGAAATACTGTAGATTCCTAAATATACATGAGGAATTTAATATCACGTTCTTTAACGAGAAGCTCTATTTGCAAACTAAAATTGCTTTTTTTTATATTTACATTGCTTATAATCAGATGTAAAAATTCATGACCAACAGTTCACTACAAATTCATTTTCTTATGATTTGATGCCATTTAGTCATTTGGTGTATATAAAGTACATGTACAAGCGTAAAATAAGCATCTATAGTACATGTATGTCAAACAAATACTGGGTAAAACTTACATTATCGTGAATACCTACCTCATAAAGGACTCTACATTGGTATATTTAGATAAAAGTTTGAAGATGGATGATCCTATCATTATTGAGACCTGTAATTAAATACACCTATTATCAAGTATTGTCCAAATTTTTAACATGCAGTTCATGTGATTGTACATATATACTTCTGATGTGCATTTTTTTTTCTCACCATGCTATGAACTTTAAATATATTATTTATGTAGCTATGTAAAAGTCAACAGTTTCTCAACAATTACATGTATGCTTGGACCATATGCAGCACAAAACAAGCATTTATCATCAAATCTTTGTTGAATACTTTAACGTATTGAGAAGGGGGTTATTGGAATCCACCCACCATAAATGCAGCAAAAATGTGACCATGAGGGATGGATTCATGTTTCTCAGTTGAGCCTGGTTTAGTTTCTGGAGTCAGGGCAGGGGTCCACTCCAACACAAAGATGTACATGGAGCCCTCAAACAGGGATTGAATCAGTCCCAAACATAAGATTTTAGTATCTGTAAAACAATAGGGTACAAAAATTAACTTGCTTTAACTGTACATTCAGTGGACTTTTAATTCATTCTTAGTGGTCAAACAAAAGTCTACTATGGTAATCAAAAGTTGATGTTTATACTTATCATCTAATTTTATAATTAATTTTTCAAAATATCATTACGAAAATCAAAATTGTTTAAAACTGTGTTATGGACATAACAGCATTATAATTTATTACCATTGCGAATGGCTACCAGTGCGTTTGTAAAGTTTTGTTTCCAGTTTCCTGTCTTGTCTCCAAAGTTCTCGCCCCACGTAAACACAATAATGATTGTCATTATAGTCAGGACAGTCAGAGCCACATCAAACGGAGCCCTGTAAATAACAAACAAAAAGCCACATCAAATGGGGCCCTCTAAATAACAGACGTAGAGCCAAATCAAACGGGGCCCTGTAAATAACTGACAAAGAGCCACATCAAATGGGGCCATGTAAATAACAGACATAGAGCCAAATCAAACGGGGCCCTGTAAATAACTGACAAAGAGCCACATCAAATGGGGCCATGTAAATAACAGACATAGAGCCAAATCAAACGGGGCCCTGTAAATAACAAACAAAGAGCCACATCAAACGGGGCCCTGTAAATAACAGACAAAGAACCACATCAAACGGGGCCTTGTAAATAACAGACAAGGAGCCTCATCAAACAGGACCCTGTAAATAACAAACATAGAGCCACAACAAATGGGGCCCTGTAAATAACAAACAAAGAGCCACATCAAACGGGGCCCTGTGAATACCAGGCAAAGAGCCACATCAAACGGGGCCCTGTGAATAACAGGCAAAGAGCCACATCAAACTGGGCCCTGTAAATAATAGACATAGCTATGATACAAAAGAATTGAATTTCATCTGTTAGGTTCACAATGAAGAAATTACATGCACATGTATGTTCACTTGGTGCATGTGTACTAATAATACAATTATTAGCAGGATCAAAGCTTTATTGAGTTTGGTTTTGTGGTTGTTTGCTTTGTATCTTGGAAATATATGTGATGGTAAAGCTTGTCACATTTTTTTCATTTTTTTTTTCCTTTACAGATAACTTTCATGATAATTGGGGAAAAAAAAAGATTAAAGAAAGTAATAATATCTTGAACTGTATGAATACAACATTTTGAATATGTTTTGTTTTTAAGGAGGGGATGATGGGGTTGGGGAGGTATTCTGCGTTTTTTTTTTCTGAATGCTAAGTTGTAAAGATTACATCAAGCACATATTTAAAAATTGAATATATACAAAATGTAACTGGTCAAATATACATCTGTACATTTCATGTGTGTGTAATTACTATATAGTGCTTATTCATGACTGTGTCAAATTGGGATTAATAAATTTATACTCAATTTTGAAATTCTGAATATACCATAATACATTTTATTAAAGTTACAGTGTCTAACAATCAAAGATGAAATTCCTATTTTCAACTTATAGAAAAAAAATCAATAGCCTTATAAAATATGCATGGCAATATGTCTCTTTATTAATTGATATCTTTTTAATTTAATATGGGTTATCTTATTTTAAACTCTGCCTACACAAATCCAAATCTGTCTGCAAAAGTCTGGGCTACCAAGCCTGCTAGAATGGCCACCAAGGAATTCCCCAACACAGCATTACTGAAAATATTTCCAAGGGATTCCTGGTCAAATCCTCTCTACAAATACAACAAAATCAAATTTTAAATTTAAAAAAAAACATTTATTAAAGAGATAACCATCAAAACAGTACTTAAAATAAAATTGATATATGGTTTGTAACATCTGTTAAGAAATTCTGATATGGATTTTATACACAAACATGCATTTATCTGTCACCATCACTACATCTAGATTTTCTGCAATATAATCACCACTTATAAGATTCATTGATTTTTCTTCTATCTAATCTCAATTCATGAAAAGAAACTAATAATTCTTTTTATGAATGTATGCAAATTAAATTGAACATGTTAAATAACCCAGTGCACACATGCTAATCAGAATCAAAATCTAATCTTGTAATTTCTTTCCAGGGGAATGGATACTATATAGGATCTGGGAAGGATAATATTATTCTTTAAGGAAGCTCTGAACACTGCACACTAAAGAGTTCTAATTGTAGGGTAGTTTTATACAGTTAGAGTGATCTGCCCTTAGAAGTAAGATAGAAAAAATGGTTAGTTATAGTTAATTACACAATTTTCAATAGATTAAAACATTCATAGCATTATATTAGACCAAGAATAAGTAATTGAAATCTTTATTTCCATTAATTTTCCCAATGTTGGTAAACAACAGTGATTTCTGTTCACGTATAGTCAATTGTCTGTGAACATTTTTCCTGCAGAAATAAGGCAGGTACCCTATGTTGAAAATGAATTGAATAGTCTCAATATGCACACCTTTATATGATATATTTTTCTCCAAGTCCAAAAAGCACTTTTTGTTAGTGTTTAGAGCTTCCTTAACATCTGTTTCTGAACCATTAAACAAATAGCTCCTCCAATAATTAGACCAGTACGTATTAAGGGAGTTAAGCATGTTTTAAAAGTTGTACAATACTGGTTCATGTTCAGACCAACAATCATACATGTACTTGTGTATCAAATATACCATGATTATCTCCAAATTAATTACGCTATTAAATGTACAGCACTTAAGGAATTCAGGAATAAAGGTTGCATTTTCATTGTTTACCATGACCCAAAATCACAGATGAATAGAGGCAGTTTCCCTAAGAAATGTGGTAAATTTTTCCCCAAATTAACTATATTAATTTTTCCATTTTTTTTTTAATGATTTAATGTAGTATTCTTCCAAAATGAGCAGAAAAGGCTGCTCATAAAATATACAAGTGAAAAAAATTAATTTTAATGAAAGAAGAAAAAATGAAAATCTAGGATCCACCTACCTTATGATGTTCATACACCATCCAGGACTCAAAGGCACTGTATAGGATGGAGGTGGCGATTCCTCCCAAAAGTCGCCCCAGCATCAGGATGTAAAAGTTGTTAAAGTGCTGAAAAATTCACAGAATGTTTTAAAACATGAAATCATGAAACATTCAGAGAGGAAAACTGAGGAAATACTGTTTACATAATGGAGAAAGAGATGATACACTGTAACACTTTCGTTTCCGGGCGATATCTCAAGAAGCTAAATAAGAAAATCTTGGGAATACTTTCAGCTTAACAATGCTTCATTAAGCTGATATAATAAATTTATACTGTAACATAGTTTTTTATGTTAATTAAATCTGCAATATTGAAATGGAGGTAATTTTTCTTTTATAACTGGAGGCAAAAATAACTCCCACTGGCCAAATTGCAAAACTTTACCCCATAAAAAATTTCCATTTACTGCAACTAGTGTTAATATAACATATTACCTAGGAGTCATGAAAAGTAATTGCCATATATACAACACATAAACTTCAACTTCCTGGTTCAGGCCCCACAGTGGGGCTAAATTGATCATATAACTGACACTTTCTAGTGTTTGTTACCTTGGTAATGCATGCTCCTCCATATAGAAATCCATACAGAATGCAGTTAGCTCTTCTTCCACTAAAATAGACAATAACTTTTAAACATATAACTATGCACCAAGAAGGTTGTTGTTAAATTGTGTAGGAAAATTAAGCTTAAATTTTCTTTAGCAAGTCTTTAAAATGAGAGATCTAGCTTTGTTTTGATCTTTTGCAATATAGTGTAAATCTTACTATCGATCAGCAAAGGACCCGACAACTGTCCCAAAGATCATACTGGACCCGAACCCAGCCACAAATAGGACCTCAATCTGGTGTGTTGACATGCCATAACTGTCATAGAGGGCGTAGACATGGGGGCCCTGTAGCCAGTCTCCCGCTGTAAAGAAATAAAAACCACAAAAGTTCATCATTTTCATATATCACTAAATAAATCAAAAGAGCTTTACATAGATGGATCATCAACATTACTGTCCAAAATATGCAAAAGATAAGAAGGTTGGTGAGAATACAGTCAAACCTCATTATCTCAAGCTCGATCGGAGTGAGAAAAAAATTTGAGATATCCAAGGATTCGAGATATCAAGGGTAAAATAATTAGAGAATAAGTAGTTGGGACTTCCAAATCACTTTGATATATCCATGTTATTCAAGATATCAGTGTTCGAGACACCGAAGTTCAACTGTATATTGAACAATGTTGTTGAAAATAATCTAAAACTAAATGAAAAAAAAAATAGGTCAGAGTCATGCAAACAGAAGGTCAAAGCCAGAAAATTTTAACGACTAAATTTTTCACAAATCTGTATCCACTTAAGAATTTTTATGAAAATACCTTGAATAGTATTTTTGAAACTGAGTCACACAGAGGGAAGGATGGAAGGGTTTTAACTGGACAGAATATGGACATATTTACCTAAGTCATGCATATAGTCATGGTGGGGAATAAAATTCAAAGCTATACATGTTTTATCCTGATTATATTATTGACTAATGGACATGCACTGTCTATCATTTTAACAATATAATTATGCCTATTAAGCAGATTTTTTTTTCATATAGAGCACAGTACTCACTATCTACATTGTAACATTAATCAATATCCACATGTATCAATGATGTGACCTCTATTTAATACTCATAACCTGACCCTTTTAAATATCTATTATTTGACATCTAACAATTCTAAGTCAGTGTTTTTCATGGCCTAAAACCAAGGTCAATTATAGGAAGTTTTCCCCTAGGATATGTGGTCATTTTCCGAATACATTGTATTAATTTTATTTTCCCAATTGTTTTTAAGATATCAAATATTAAAATGTAATTTTTTTTTCAATTGATGAAAAAGGTGGCTTTTAAAATGGTTATAAAAATACACTGTAAACTGAACCAATCAATGTATTTAAACATATGTTTATGCGGTACATGTATAAGCATGCAATACTATATTTTCCACTATCAATAATGGTTGATTCTGTCAATCAAATACAATCAAATATCAGTACATCTACAGGTTATATAGACAAGTTAGAAGTAGGCCCATTTCCTGAAGTTTTGACTGACTAGGATCTGTCCCAGTCCACAAGTATGACAACACACTTATGTTATCAATTTCCACTTACTGCAAAGCTGCCTAAACCTGCATAAAATCAAGTACCTGAAACATGTCTATACTCTATATTAGGTCAGATGTCAAATATCCATTTAGAGGTACATTGACACGATTAAAGTTATATTTTCTCAGTAATATATTTAGTCTGATAAATGATCTTAAATCAATGACGTTGCCTTCTCTTACCAACGTTTTCAAGTTAGATACTACACATGAAATTGTTTATTAATATATAACACAAGTTGTATTTTTTGGAATTTACAAACTGCCTAGTAAACTAAATATCCATGGACCATCAATGTTAATCAGCATGTGATCAAATTTCTAAATCAATTCATAGATCTTACTCTATTAAAAGATAATTAAATCTGTTTTTTTATAAGACTTGAAACAATTGTGACCGTGTAGATTTGGACGGTACTTAGGAATTCGTCTGGAACAGCATCCGTTGTTTGCAGAACGAACGGGGTGAGGGAACGTTGGCGTAGGGGGGTACGAGGTATAGGTAGAGGCGCTGTGTGGCCGTGAGGTAAAAACAAAGTATAGGTGTGCCGTGTTCCCGAAGTTCCACCAATATGCAATTCCAGAGATAAAACAAATGATGAAGGATTCCGTATTTATTAGATGAGTCTCAACGATGGCAATAGTTTACATGAATCAACAAACAGACATATTAAAAATGATCGAGTCGGATTTGGCCGAAGTGGCCCCGGACTCAGAGTCCTGACGAGTCGGACTGGCCGAGACTGGCCTTCGTATATTCCAGACTAATGATTGAAATTATACATGACTATTTATAAGAATGTACATAATGAGTAAATAAATGACAGGTGTTGACATTTAGTAAAATGAGTGAAGGATTCACAGGTATGGATTAATTAAATAAACTCAATGACGCTTTGATGTTTGGACATTAAAAAAAACGCAGATAATTACACAGTGCTGTTATTAGAGATTAACAGTTCTTGAGACACAGCACTCTGTCTCTTTGTAACAACAGATCAAGAGTCCGAAAAGTGTCACTGGTCAATTAAACAATTAGATTCGCGAAACATATCGTGAGAAATAAAATATGACACAACTTAAAAATTGAAAAGTAAAGTCCAAAATAAAGTTCTTTCTTGAACAGTGAATTTTTCACTGTGATAATTTCCCTCCGCTCCGGGAAAAACACGTCCTCGTGTTTGGAAAGAAATTTCACTTTAATTATTTTTCGGATTCTGTTCTTTCATGTTCTTGTAGACGTACACACCGGTAAGCACTAACTGAAACATAGGTTTGAGTATCCTGGTGGTCAAAAGAGAGATGTTGAAAGTGTTGACAATGAATGTTGTTCACTGTGGTTGTCCATCGTTGATACGTTGAGCAGAGTGGTTCAATGGGGGAACTCGCTTGCTGAAGAGGTTTGAGATCTGACCACTGCAAAATATATGCAGCGGCCCCGGGCGTTGTGCTACCCTTAGGATTCATCCACCAATTGTGACCGTGTAGATTTGGACGGTACTTAGGAATTCGTCTGGAACAGCATCCGTTGTTTGCAGAACGAACGGGGTGAGGGAACGTTGGCGTAGGGGGGTACGAGGTATAGGTAGAGGCGCTGTGTGGCCGTGAGGTAAAAACAAAGTATAGGTGTGCCGTGTTCCCGAAGTTCCACCAATATGCAATTCCAGAGATAAAACAAATGATGAAGGATTCCGTATTTATTAGATGAGTCTCAACGATGGCAATAGTTTACATGAATCAACAAACAGACATATTAAAAATGATCGAGTCGGATTTGGCAGAAGTTGCCCCGGACTCAGAGTCCTGACGAGTCGGACTGGCCGAGACTGGCCTTCGTATATTCCAGACTAATGATTGAAATTATACATGACTATTTATAAGAATGTACATAATGAGTAAATAAATGACAGGTGTTGACATTTAGTAAAATGAGTGAAGGATTCACAGGTATGGATTAATTAAATAAACTCAATGACGCTTTGATGTTTGGACATTAAAAAAAACGCAGATAATTACACAGTGCTGTTATTAGAGATTAACAGTTCTTGAGACACAGCACTCTGTCTCTTTGTAACAACAGATCAAGAGTCCGAAAAGTGTCACTGGTCAATTAAACAATTAGATTCGAAGGATATTATCACCGAGCAAAATTAACGTTTTTGAAATAAATAACTCTTTAAACATATTTTACTAAATTTGGACATTTATCTGTTAAATTCTCTATCTATTATCATTGTGTGTATATTACTTAGTTGATTGAATCTCATTCTCTTTGAAACAGGATTAAGACATTCCAATTGACTTTAAGTGACGTGTCAAAAGAATTGATACTCATTAGGTGTAAATGCCTCAGGACCTGTTAGTCTAATATCAATAACTTTGTTTATATAATTATTTAGCAATGTCTTTTATGTCCATTCCATCAAAGAAACACACCTGTCTATCAATTAACTCAGCTAGTGTCATAATTCAATTATTGTTTACTCTCTATCTTACAAAAAGCTATGTCCATTATACCTTCTTCAGTTTGGAGGCCCGATGCTCTACCGGCCACATCCAACTCGGTTAAGACTTGTAAACTTTTGTTAAAATTCATGTTCATTGTTATTTACCATCGTCCATAATAAATTCGGAAACCTAATTTTACCAGTTCTTGGACTTTATATTGGAAGACCATAAGGAATACGGCACCTTTCTCGTTTGCATTGTATTACGGCCCCACAGCGCCGCTACTTTTTACCCGCCAACATTCCTTCTTCCCCGTTTACGCTAAACAACGGATATAGTCCAGGAATTACTTTTATAACTTTATAACCAAAATCTAACTGGTTATACAATCAACAAGTGTACTCAATTTGAATGGAATGTTGCACTACCATGCCATAACTGGACTTGAATGTCTTAAAAACACAATAAATTAATTAATTATCCATTCAATAATGATGCCCTTAACACACGAAATTAATTAAACATGCATTTATGATTTCAATAATTTAACAAGTATCGCTGACGATAAAGAAAACTAAACACTAGTATGCAAATTTATGTATTTAATTAATCATTTTTCTTCTAAGAAATCATTAAGATAAATACAATTAATTTATGTCCAATATTTCCAACATTATGGCATCATGTGCAGAATTTATCAGTACTTTCAAACGGTAGTTGAAAAGTTTGCTAATTTTCCCCCGTTTTAATGTCCCTGGCCAAAGTACCAAGACAGCACCCCCCCCCCCCCAAACTCCTCTCTGATCAGAAAACCTTAAATTCACACCCACACCCCTTTGTCTGATAAATCAATTCTTTTCAAAGAAATTCCCTTAAATCAACTAGCTTCCATTACAGTCAACAACCTTATTAACCCAAGATCTTCGAGTTGTGTCCATGATCAAGAAAAATCTGAGCTTCTGCATGGCTTTCATGTATTTGCCAATTGATTATTTATCAGGATTCAGGAAGGTAAAACATGTTGACAGTTTTGGATCTAACACATCGGGTTAATTACATAATACATCACGGAAAATGGGGGACAGTGTGTCTTCTTTCAAACATTCAATTATCTTTCAAGTGTAACAGAATTACATGGTCTACTAATTCACTGAATTATCTAAATGAAACCAGGATATATACATGTCCCCCTTCCCTTTTGCATTTTGTAATTGATACAATTTTTATATGCATTTATGAATGCTAGAGATGCTGTGCAAGTTAGTACCATGTAGCTTCAGTGTTTTTACAACTGCATCGGTCAAGCTGATCAGCTTGACATTTGATAGGACTTCAACTTAAATCCTTCTTACGACAATGCACACTGTCAAAGCAACCTCGTTAGACCTTGGCTATACTTATCCTGTCTTACACGTGGCACTCTGTTCCATGAGTATCAGCAGTCATTTTATATGTTCCACGCCTTACGTACAATGGTAAATACTTGCTGGTCAATTTAATATATTATTTATAATAGCTATCAATGTGCACTCACCCATGGCCAGCAGGTAGACGACCAAATAGACACGTTGGAAATTTTTGAAAGCGGCATCGCTGATGGTTGTTAAAGCAGTTCTGGTGTAAATAAACAATACTGCACACAGTACGCTGAGGATGGCGAATCCTGAGATGAAGATATTCATGTTTTGTTGTTTGTCTTGGTTGTTTACTGTAGTCAATACTGTGTCATGTTGGAGCAGAGGAAAACAAAACGGAAGAGCTCGAAACACGGGAAATAACTCGCTGAATTACCAAGGGCAGGGAACTCGTGCATTTAACATCTTGCTTCAAATGGTTACATGAATCTATAGTATTTCGATTTCAAAAAAAATTCTATAGTACGTTAAATTAATCAATAATGAAATATCTCATTATCCGACTCTATATATTATAATATATTTCTTCTCCTCTATATGAAAAATACACGTAAATATCATGAATATTTGAGAGCATTTTTACTGGTCATAATCATGTCAAGTTGTCAAAATGAGGAAGATTTTACATTACTTCCTACTCGCATAATATACCCATAGGCGCTCCCCATCTAATTTAATAAAATTAATGACGAATAAGTCTATATAGGACTACCCTCCCTTTGCTTAAGGGGTGCACTATATAAAATTATCATTCGTCATTTATTTTATTAAATTAGTTCAGTTAAGAGAGCCTGGGAATTTGCCTGTTTTTGACCATGCCACTTAAATTTCGCTAATTTAAGGAGGAATGCCACATTTTATTTCATTGATCTTTAAGACAAGGCCGATATTAGCTCTTAATTATTTTATTTTAAAAAAATTCCAAAGTTTTTTACACTGAGAAAATGAAAAAAAAAATGTTTTATTTGCAAATAAGATGCTTTAGAGTTAAAAATTTGCTGTAAAGAAATGCATAATATAAATATTATTATGTCATAATATTTATAACAATTGAAATAAAATAACTGAAAAGCGAGATTAAAAGGCATATGTGTACGCTATATTTATGGCACCTTTTTGAATAAAACTGAAAAATATTACTTGTTAAAATTGTTGACCGGTTCTTATAATTCAAGCTGAAAATAGACAAGAAAAAACAAATTGACAATTAATTGCAGCTTTATTATGTTGGCCATATATTTACGAATGACAGTGCAGTAAACTTTTTGTCCGTAAAGTGGTATCAAATTCACTATTTAAAGTCCCATATTCATATACATGCACGAAATGAAGTACTCACAAAATTAATCAAATTAAAAAAAGATGCATGCGCCTTCCCAATTTTATACCTTGGTTGTATCATCAGATACGCAGCACCCTTTTTCGAGGGAAGTGGGGGGGGGATAGGAAACAACCCCCTCCCATAAAAAATAAAAATTAAGTCTTGGAAAAAATTGACAGGCCAAACAAAAAAAGGAAAACTTAGATTACTTGAAATATTGGGGAAAGTGGTGGGAGATTCCCACTATCGATCATATTTCGACAAAAAAAAATCTTGGTACAGAATAGCGTGTAATTAGGCTCAATTAAAAAAAAATGCCTCATGAAGAAAGTTTATAATGACAATGCTTGCTGCCAAATCTATTTATGTTGAACAGATTATATAATAAAATATGTTCTTATGACTCAAAATACTGACTTAATTGACAAGGTTTGTATCATAATTTAAATCGCACTGCCCACTAAGTATTGACTCTGATCATTGAGATATGACTCTGAATCAAGATCCTATAGCTATAGGTCACTACATGTACATGTATCAACAGCATATTGTCAATATATACTTAAAAGTTTGATTCGACTCCAATTAAGGAAGGGTTCCAAAGGAATGACCGACTCCGTGTGTATACGATTTCACTACCACAGAGGGCCCAAAGAACGTTTGACATATATATGCACTGTCATTCATATTTTTATATTGCCAACCATGCATTCATCCCACCCTCTGCAGGAATAATTTGCAAGTATTGATAGGGCGTAATGTATATATGTTCAACTGACATTGAATTTCTATAATTTATAAAATGTATTGCAGAATGATATATAAACAAGACCCTCCCCCTTTTGGGGGCGAAGGGAACCCCTAAAATTATTTTAAACAAGAATCTTATTTGGTAAAATGAGTGGAAACAAATCCTTCCGACTGCTGTAAATAGAGAAATCTATAAATTCCAAATCAGTGACTGAAGATAGTGCAGAGAGTGGATCCCCTCCTGGCTCCGGGCCCACAAAACTTAGCTGCTTAGATGAGCTCACTTTTAATAAAAGTCTCGCTTAAAAAAAAAACAATTAAAGTGAAAAAGTGAGCTAGCTCAATTTAGCTTTATGGCCCCGGATTCTGGTTTGCTTTCGGGAGATCTCTCTCTCTCTCTCTCTCTCTCTCTCATACACGAAATGTATGAAATCCAAACCAAGAGATCGCCTTGTTAACTTCTAAATTCTAATAAATTTTCTTTTTATTGCTACAGACCTGCATACATGCACTAGAAAGACATGCATCAATTCTGTTTCGCTGTATAAAAGCAAATCCTAATGAAGCTTACCCTTCCAGTTTTAAGATTGCAGATTCTTCCTGTTGTTATAAATGAGTTCGAATTTTCACCATCGTTAGCTATATACAGTCAAACCTCGTTATCTCGAACTCGATGGGACCGAGAAAAAAAACCTTCGAGATATCCGAGGATTCGAGATATTGAGGGTAAAATACTTAAAGTAAAAGTGGTTGGGACTTCAAAATCACTTCGACATATCCATGGTATTCGAGATATCGGTGTTTGAGATACCCAAGTTCAAATGTATTTTAAATCAATCATACTCTACACCTGCACTGGCTTGCCTTTGGTGACCACTTTTCAGAAACTTTTTCAGATTGACAACAAATCTTCTCTGTCAGACAACTTCATAATTAAATGTTCATTATTGAAAACCTGGCTACTGGTCTATAATTATAATAGAAAAGATTTTAATATACTTGGTAAACATTATAGAAATTCATGAACAGAAAAAAAAGAAATACATATAGGTATTTTCATATTTTATTACTTCAACATTAGAGAAAAAAATATAGATCATGAAGATATCACAGTATCTCAATGGTTTTATACATAAAACATCAAAGCAATTAACAAAATACAATGCACAGACATGCACAGTTTTGTCTATTTCTTAACAGAATAGACTTTCCTAGACATGATTTCTCTTTGTAGGTAACTCAAAATTCTTGGAAATCCTTTCAAATATCTGTTTCTTCAAAAATCGAAGTCATTAATACCTGTACACATTTCCGTAATGACTATAGAATATCTGAGTTGTAAACCACCATGCATTACCATTGAACACTTATGGCCAGTCACACTGACATATCTTTTGACATGAACCAATAAATAAGACACGTAAAATTTTGACAGTTTAGATTTCAATAGGCTTAGGCACTGGTTTTCTGATATGTCGCATGGTGGATCCAGATTCTGCTGGTTTGAAGGGGGCATGTTTGCCGTAGGGTCTTGGGATTGGCAGTTCGCTGTCATCATCAGGGATATAAGCGTTGGGGCGTGGTTCTGCGGTGGTGGTGACACCACCCGCTATCTTGTATTGTTCTTCTTCTTCCTCCATCTGCAAAATAAATTTCAGTGTTATCTGCAATGCATATACATGTACCATGTTTTAACAACTAAACCGACACTTTAAAGCAAAATTTTTTAATGAATTTTTTTAAATTGAATTTTTTTTTTAAAAATTAAAGCTCTCGAATTTTCAAATTATAATTTTTAAGCTTCTAATGAATAGAAATAGACAAGCCTGCTTTACATGATCAATTTCAAGCCTAGTCATATAAAAATGAGTAAATCTTTCCCAAAAAACAATTTAAAGCCTTATCACATAAAAGTTTGAAAAAATCCAATAACCATCAATAAATTCTTCTCATTTTTCTTATATTGATAAAATCCGTACAGTACTAATTAATTAACATACCAGTCTGATTTCCTCCTTGTCCCTTGCCCTCCTGTCCTCATCGCGGAGGATCTTCAGCCATTCTGCCTCCACTTCGTCACTAGGTGGCTCCCCTTTCTCCATACGAATATAGCACTGTTCTAAGTCCGCCTCCTTCTCTTTCAGTTGTTGTTGTAATTTTAATGCGTTGGCTTGATTCATTGAAAGTTCAGACACTAAAGCCATCATTTTACGTGTAGTTTCTTTAATTCTAGCTTGTAATTCATTAACCTGGAATAGAATTTATCAATATTTTAACATATTGTAATGTACTGCAGGATTAAATACATTTTATCTCTATTAATATCTTCAATTTCAAAAAGTTTGAAAATTGAGCATCGATGATGAAAATTTCTGAAAAAATTTTCCCTTCCTAAACCAACCCAATATATTCATTCCGAGTCAGAGAGGGCAAGCAAGCATGATTTTAAAGAAGTCCATACACATATATGAAGTGTGGTTCTTTGATAATTTTTTTGTTGTGTTAATTTTCTACATGTAAAAGTAAACCAAACATGACAGACCTTCTTGGCAAGTTCTAACGTGTCTTCCTTTCCACCTTCGGCTTTGTTTTTCACTCTGTCGGCCAGTCGATTTACTTGTTCAAAGATTAAATCTTTTTCTAATAATTGTTCCTCCTTTTCAGCTAGCCTGGCCTCAAGCTGTCAAAAGCAAGCATCAAATGAATTCATGTACTTTCATTTCATATAACTCTTGAAATAGCCAGCAAATTATTTTTCTTCTGTATTAAAAGCATATTTCAATGAATGAAAAAGATAAAAAATCAAAATTTCATGAATAAAGAGGCATTTATAGATATTTAAGTGCCTTACATCTTCTATTTTATCCTGTAGTTTAGCCGGAGGGAGATCTTTTCCCTCCAGATATCGGACACGACTCTCGTCATACGGATCCTCCAGATGATGTTCCAGTTCTAGCATCCGGTCCTGACACTGCTGTAACTGGATCTGTAGGGTCACTAGCTCCTCCTCCAGAGCTCTCTTATTGGGCTGCTGTTTCCATAGTAACTCCTGTTTCCTCTTCTCTTCGTTCAGAGCCATTTTGATGAATCGTATCTCCTCTTCTCTTGCCTGGAGCTCCACATTGCCATTTCTTATCATTTGTTCTGAAATAGTAAAGAAGGTTAATATCATATTAAATTTTACTTTCTTCTTCACTCTGTTCTTTATTTTTTTTTTCAATTGCATATGCACATTTTAAACTTTTTCTAAATCGTAATATATTTTACAAGCATCTTACCTTCAATATTAACTTTTTCGTAGAATATGCAGACTTCCTCCTCTCTCTGAATGAGCCTCAAACCTCTATAAAATGTGTACAGTTGTATAGAGAAAATTATTTGGATAAGAGTTATATGAGAGAAACAATAAAGCAGGTAAATAATGATCATCATGGGATATATTTTAAGGGAAATAACTCTTCCTTTTTAAGTCATCAATGAAGTAATCAATATAGTTACTGTATTTCTTTATGATAAGAATATTCTGAATCAGTAATTTAAAGTTTAGCCCAACTAATTTTGCAAAAAACCATAATAAATAAAATATCAACAAAAAGAAAAAATATGATTAGAATCTGCCTAAGAACTGACTGATGTTGATGATGCCCCTTTACCTATCGTTCCTCTTCTTCTCTTCCACGGAGTACCTCTCCCTCAGTTTACTGCTCTCATCCTCTCCCTGGTTCATCATCATGTTAAGCTTGGACAGATCCATCTTCTGTTGCTCCACGGTTGATTTCATCTCGGAGTAAATAGAATTCTGTTTGGCGACTTCATTACGAAGCCCATCCCTCATTACTATACTGTGCATGTGTTTTAACCGACGCTTTTGAAGTTCCCTGTTTGAAGAAGAAAATCATTCTAGTGAATTTTTATTTTCAAAGTGAGAGTAATTTTATTTTGAAACAATCTAATTGAAATTAGAGTTTGAAACTAGGATTAATTATCTCATATACATTCACTTACATAGAAACATTATTTTTATGGTACCTAAATTGATCACAATAAGATTTTATAAAAATTCTTTTTTCTCTAAGTGGGTAAAATTCAGGCCAAAGTTTTTTGATCTGTTGTTCCTTTTAGTTGTCATAAAATTACATAATCTAGATTACATAATCTTAATATTTTACTTAAAACAACAAGCACATATTATAATAGGACTAGACATATAATTACATACATGTAGTCTCCATATATGTATATCTAAATGTTACAGATTATATGATCAATACTGACTTGTCTTTTTTGCTGACTTCCGTGCGTAGGATTTCGATCTCGTTCTGTAAGATTTTAATTTTCTCCTTCATCTCGGCCGCCTTCTGTGTACTCGTCTGGATCAGATTCACACATTTGTTTCTCTCGTTCTTAATGACATCATACAGCTTGGCAAAGTCCTTCAACCTTTTAACAAGATGTATATTATGGGTAAACTTGTATCTTATTCACATGTCAAAAACAAAAAAACATTCTCATGTCAATGTTTTATTCTAAATATTTTATTGTTTTCAATGTGCCTTTAATCAATTTTTAGATATGATAAAATGCCTCTTGCAAGAAGAATTATAGCCAAAACTATATCAAGGATGTTGAATGAATTACATTTTTTTTTACACATTCTTCAATAGAGGATAAAACATTTCATGTTTCATTATCTACGAACTAAAGCTTTGTTATCCTAACTAAATACATGTAATTTCAGTAACTGAGATCCTTAGTCTGACTGTATACACTCACTTGATCATCATCTCCTGATACTTCTTCTTGTGGTCCACGATTTGCAATTCTTTTGTCTTTTTATCCTCCCGAGCCTTATGGTACCTCATCTCTGCTCTCATGAAATCTCGAGCCTTCTGCTCCCTTTCATCAGCCTATTGTAATCAATACAAGTACTTAAAAGCATGATCTGTAAGCTTTATTTACATACAAATATTTCAAGAACATGTTATTTAAAAAGACACAAGTATCTTAATTTCAAACACTAAATGATTGTGCACAGAAATATGCATGAAAATGAAATCAGTGTCTTTGTATAATCAATTCTTAAAGCCTCAGTAACATGTAAAATTGCTCTCTCTCTCTAAGCAACAAAAGGGAGATAACAAATATATCAAAATTTAAGTGCTGATCAGAACTTCATAATGAGAAAAAAGATGGGAGTGAAAGTAATATTTTAAAGAAATATTAAATAAATATGGGAGTAAAGCTACAGCCTATGTGTATTCAAAAAGTTGAGCATCATGAAATCTCTTACTTTGATGGCTGCCAGTCGAGTGAGCTCTACGACTTCTATACGCAGATCACTTTGTTCATACAATAGATTCTGTTCATCTGCAGCACTTTTCTCCAGCTTCACATGTTCTACTGCTGTCAGGTTGTTCTATACAAAAAAATGCTTAAGTTATAATTCAACAGGCAAGAAATTTAACTTAGAATGAATTAAAAAAACAGAAAATATCAGAGAAATTACTTAACTGTGGTAACTTTAAAAATTACAGTAATGAAAAAAATTTCGAAATGTTTTTTCTCTTAAAAAAAAAACAAAAAAGGACATTCAAACAATCATGTGACCTACCTGTGTGGCTAGAGCCCTCTTTGTCTGTTCAACTTCCTTGGCCAAATCGTCTTTCTTCTTCTGCAAGCTTCCGTCATCTTTCGGCATACCGCTTACTTGTGATACAACTTTTTCTTGGATCGTTTTGGTGTGAGCGAGATTTTCCTCTGCTACTTTCATCTGTAATTCTAGTTTCTTCAGAGCCCTCAGGTCCCTCTCTTTCTCGCGACTTTTCCTTGACAAGACATCATGGTTGTTCTTTTTCTCTAACTGTATGTGTCTTAAGTTCATGTCTAATGTAGCTCTGTTGAAAATAAATGAGATCATGAAATGCAGGAAGAATACGATATAGGTTGATAGTTTCATAGATTAATCTTTTTTCTCACAGAATAAGGATAATTAATCATAATACATTAGAAAGTCTACTTTTAATTTTACATTCATGATTGTTACATATGCAATGAACTACATAATATTATCTATAGCAGGGAAAGAATTGTTTCACTTGAGAAATTTCCAAGGATACTACCCCCCCCCCCCCCCCTTAAATCTTGCTAAGTTAATCACCTGTCAGCATTAAGCACTGCTTCCTTGTCCTTGGCATACTCGTAGTCCTTCATCAGTTCCGCGAGTTCCCGTTCCCGCTGAGTCAGTAGATCCTGCTGCTTCTTTAGCTCGTTTGTGATCTCGTAGCGCTCTTCATCCATCTCACGATGTTTCTTCTCCAGCATCTGAACCATGTCTAATGCCTCCTGATACTCGGAGTCTAACCCTCGAACTTTATTTTCAATTTCACTGTTGAAGAAAGAGGAGCAGTTATTATTAAAATCTGTTTTGATATTGTTATTTTTTTGTATTTGTTATTATAATTTGTCATTGTTTAAATCAAACTTACAGTCATATTGACTGAATTTAACAAATTAAAAGAAAAGAAAATCATGTTTTTTATGTGATAAAAAGTGTTAAATTTTATGGTACGTGTATTTATACAATATGGGCAGAGTAGGTGACCTCTATTTTCTATTTGATTATTATTTTTCAACTGAAAGAAATGTAAAGGGAAAGAAAACCTGTCACAATAAACTACACATTGAAAATTGTTTTTTAAGTAGGGTGAAAAGTAAAATATTGTCATAAACCTGCATTCAATGCAGGACAAAAACAAATGAAATATACTAATTGCATATATATATGCTTCATTTATAAACAAAGTGATTTTCTTACTTTTTCTGTCGGACTAGCTTGTCTGCTTCCTTTGCTAGTTGGTTTGGCAGTGTGTTCACCTGAACTAAGTCAGCCTGTTAAAATATGAACATTACGTCATTGAAATGATAAACCTGCTACATTGTGGATGGTCTCTAAACAGAAGAAAAAATCTATTAAGGTTCAAATTATTTTGAAAATAACTATTCAATATTTCTTTTTCATTCTCTTAATATCTACGTTCATTTTCTTAATATCTACAAGTAATGTTCATAGAGTAACGCTAACAATGTTGATTTTTTTTTTTTTATATCTTCTTCTGCTACCCTACCCAAACCTTACCTTAAGTTTCTCCATTTCATCCTGAGCCTTCTCCAGTTCTTTGGCTTCGAGGACGTTTTCCCGTTTTGTGTTTTCTACATCTTCCTTCAGAGTTTTTGACTCCAGCTGACGATTATTGATTTCTTTTTTCAGTTCCTCACAGGCCGCCTGTAATTCTTTGATCTTCTTCTCTATCTCCTGCAAACGATGAATCAATATGATTAAAATACATTTTTCATTTTAAAAAAAGTGATCTGAGAAAAGAAAAGACTTGAATGTAAAAAAAAAAAAATCCTACCCCTTGCTTTGGCATCCTTGCATATTCTCTTTCCATGATTTTCTTCTCCTCTGTGAGACTAGAGAACAAAAAAAAAGAAGGATAATTTACTGAAAATGCATTACTGATTTACAAAGAGAATTAAATAACAGCATGATATCTGAATTATTTGATGTTAATGTAATCAAAGGTATCAATTTCTTGTGCTGAATTTCCAAGCTAAGCCAATGCAAAGATTTACAACATGTTCCTTTACTAAAGGATATTTAATTCATAAATTTAGTACAGTTGAACTTCAGTATCTCGAACACCAATATCTTGAATACCATAGATATGTCGAAGTGATCTTTAAGTCTCAAACACTTATTCTTTAAATATTTTACCTTTGATACCTAGAATTCTTGGAGTTTATCTCGAAGTTTTTTCTTGGTCCCATTGAGTTTGGAATAACGAGGTTTGACTTTAATTAACCTTTAATTATTTGATGTTAGTAAAGCTTACATTTCTAATCTATATTCCACTTGGTACTTCCTGTCCTCCGCTTTCTCCGTCTCATTCCTGAACTTAAGGTACTGCTCCCTAAGCTTCGTAACTTCATTAGCATTAGACCCCGCAGGAAAGTTATCTCCCTTCTCTAGCTCACTCCTCTGTTTCTCAAGTGTCACTGTGAACTCTTTTGCCTTTTTTAGTAAATTAGTTTCACTTTCTCTAGTTCTGAAAAGGGACATAACTGAGTGTTAAAAATCTCTACGATGAAATTTTCACATTTTTCAGTTGAGCTTGAGGAAATTATTAATGCTTACTTTTTCAGAGTGTCATGCAGTTCTGTGTATTTGGATTTCAAAAGAGCCACCTTTGTCCCTGTCAGTTTGCCCTCTTGAAAGAGCTGGAGGAAAAAGAAGTTTTGATGACAGAATATTCTTTAACAGTCTTAACTTTTACATTCTATTTTTCTGTTAGGGTAAAAAATATTAAGATAAAATCAATGAGTCTCAATAATTCATTGTTCAAATAATGTATTGAATATGATTCAATTCGTTAATGTCAGATTCTAAAATAAAATACATGCAATGAAATTAACGAAAGAAATTGCTACAAAGCAACAAAGAATAGAATTTGTTAAATAAATGTGAAGAAAAATGATTAACATTGATAAGAATTAGTTAATAAGGTTCAGAAATACACATACCTCCTCTAAACACTGGAAGGCAGGGCTAGCTGACACTTCTACCTGGCTTTCCTCCTGCTGTATGACCTTGGGAGGAAGAGCACTGATAGCGGGGGCATACTTAAGTGGCTCTTCTTCCTCCTCCTCCTTTTCCCTTCCATCTTCACTTTCTACATCACTCATCTGCAAATTTAGCAAATAATTCAAAATTAATATGTTGCCCTTATTAATGGGTCTTAAGATTTATAACTGATCAGGTAATATCATCTGAAATTTTTTGAAAAAAAATCCAATTTGAAAATTTTGTCCAAACATCAATGATATGAAATCATAAAAATGTATAATGACTAGGGATGTCAACGAGTAACCGGTTAACCGGGTACTCGCTCGAACGTCCGAGTATCGAATACCAAAATTGGTACTCGGTTACTCGGATGTGTATTTTTTTTTTCATATTTCAAAGTGCATGTATTTGTTAAAAACTTATCAAAAAATGTGATTTGAATATGAATTGTCCATGTCTATACAGTAATTACCGTCACCTACACCAGTTAATACCCGTTATCGCCTGTGGCTGTGTTCGTGTATATACAGTAATTAATCACTGGACCCTGTGCACAGCCGTTCTCACCTCTTGTGACCCTAATTTTTAGATGGCTTTCATTATTTGTTTTCAATGAACATCGTTTAATTATGATCTATTAACTATTCTATGATTATTCAATTAGCATACAGAAACGAAATCGGACATACATAGAAATACGGCTACCAATTCACCAAACTATTTATAAATAACCAAAGATTAAAAAAATGTTAAAAGGCACCTGCATGTGCATGGTAAATTATGCGTATAGAGTGGAAACAACCATATATTAAAGGAATCACTTTTTAGTTTGCTGTGCATACCAGAGCATCAACGGCAGTTGGAAACGTGGAATAATTTATGCATAACGGGTGGAGTTGTAAATATCGAGAAATTAACATACTTAACTTTCAGAGTTATCACAAAGAAAACATTTGCAAATGTAAATAATATACGACTCGCGATCATGACAGAGTCCATTCCCCACTGTTCCCAAAGATATTCTCTCTCGCTAGTCTAATCATTACAAAGTTGCGTCCTTCTCTTCCGTTGACCAAATTGTCTTCATAAATAAGAACTTTTAAGCATTTGTAATTATTGTTGTTTTAATTGATCATGTTATTTGTGTTTGTTTGATAAATAAATTAAGTACCAAAAAATCGTTCTCGTTGGGCTCGATGTTTATGTACATGCATTATAACATGTTATAAACGAAAGAAAACATCGATGTGGTAAACAGGTCTCAAAGTTTACATGTATAAACACTTTTTCCGAGTACCCGGGTACTCGATCGGAAAATCATCCGAGTAACCGATTATCAAATATTGACCGATTTGACATCCCTAATAATGACCATAAATAATTGTCAATGAATAATCAATAAATGAAAGAGTCATGTTTATTACATATCAATAAATAGATCAGTATGCAATAATGATTTATCAATGAATTTCCAGAAAATCCTTAAAGAGTCAAACACACACAAAATGTGCATTGTATAAATGATGTCTGAATCTTTGACATTTCATACTCAGAGAAATACATTAATATGTAAATAAAAAAAAAGTACTTATCCATAGTGGAAAAGCTACAGGCAGACTGAAATATACACATCACTTACACTCAGATAAAAATTCATGAAGGATGCTACATATTCCTCTGTCATATTGTTTCTCCAAGACAGAATCATTAAGTATGCACCCACTCACTTCTTTACATCAGTGTTACTGATTTGCATGTTTATGATGTGTTGAAGTCCTGTTTTTAAATTGATATCCATCAAACTAATCATGTTTACCATTGTAACTGCATTTGGAATGAAAAATTGTGCAGATTTTTTCCACTATTAATATCCAAAATCATTTACTCAAATCTATCTATTTCCTCTTATCACAATTAACTTAATTGAATTTCTTTTATCTGTAAGTCCATTAAAGCCTCGAGAATAATTGAAACAAATATAAACAGTTCTATTTTCAAAGCACTCATTAAATATGTATATTTTTTGCAGCAGAGCAATATGCGTCCTGCTCATCTTATGATGACAGTGTGTGAGGGGAAAGGGAAATTTATGAAGGATGCTAACAAAATAAAATCATACCGTTTTGATTACTGAAAAAATATAATCAAAATGATAATCAAAAGCACACGTAAAATGACTCTCTCATAAATTTATATTATGTATGACTGCATGGTTTTTATACACGTGAAATACTAGCAGTTGATGATGACATCCATTTGGGATAACATTTAAAGAATATAAAACACCGTCATTATCAAACACAGATGCATGCATCGTGTTTCGTGCAGTTTATGCATCCTCCTAACAAAGTGAGGCTGACCCAAGTAATTGATCGTCGATTAAAACCTTTATCTGTAGCAATTTCCCTGGGATTAATTACACACGAAAAACTATACCTTTGTTCCCTGTTATTGAATGTTATTCCCTATGCAGATATTGCGTGTAAATGGACAGCCTAAGCGTTAAAATTAAGCCATAACATAAAATATGCATGAATTCCGCTTAGCGGATATAAACATGATTGTTTCTATGGCAGCTGCGCATGTGCGACTTGTTTTCGTTATCAATAGTCGTAAAATCTGTATGTTGATTTTAGTATTAGTAATGCACATTAAATTTTTAGGTTCCGCATATATCAATGTTAATGTCTGGAGACATCTAGTCTCATTTTATCTTTAATTGTTCTGACATAGTCGTAATTAAAAGAATTTTTGGCAATCATTAATCATAGTTCTCCTAAAGCTTAATATTGAGTGAGAAACTATTCCTAACTTTAAGCGTTTACACGACTTAGTCAATTTCAGCGTGGTGTGTTTCGTCTTGTCATATTTTGTTTAACCGGCAGCAACCAAAAATGAAGATTGAAGAGGTTAAAAGCACGACAAAAACCCAGAGGATAGCTTCCCACAGTCACATAAAAGGTCTAGGACTTGATGAGAATGGCTATGCTATTCAATCCGCCGCCGGTTTGGTTGGACAAGAACTAGCTCGAGAGGTATCCAATCAAACTTTGTTTATTTCTAGATGTTTCTAACATAAGACACTAGTATTGCATATAGTTAGGCTTTTGTTTAAACAGTGGGGGAAAAAAGAAAGATATAATTATATCCTTCCCATTACACTGTCCACACAACATAAACTCATAAAGTATTTTCCATATCTCCCAAATTTATGTAAACTAATGATTTATTCTAATAAATGACATCTACTAACATATTGGTTTAATCTAGCACTATAGATGTACCAAATGCTTCAAAGTGGGACACACATATTTAGTATCTTCCAAAAGTTACTGTATCGCACCCAAATAAATATTGAAATACTCTATTTTATTCTTATCATTAAAGTTTGTTCAAAGCAAAGCAGAAATAATATGTTGATGGTGCAGCCATTGGCGCCAGCACAGTTGTGTATTACTGGATACCATTTTAATGTAGATCTGCCTCTTCAAACCGCTCAAATCTAGACTATGACATCACATGACTTCATATGTTAGTTCACAGGAGTTCGCAATTTTATCAATAAAGTCAATAAAAATCACTTTATTGATAAAATTGCGAACTCCTGTGGTTAGTTGCATAGCCTGCATTTCCATAACAATTAAAGTCTGAAGAGTACAAATTTTAATCAACAAAGAACGTTTTATATACTTTCTATCTGTAATATCTGTTAAATCAAGGTGAGTTTATTTTTTAGTGAACTTTTAATTGTTGTTACCATGAGAACGAAGTTAGCAGCGAGACACATTTGTATTGCATTGTGGGTCTCTAGGTAACTGTGGACAAAAATTCATTTGGATTTTTTTCTCTTTGCCCAGGCATTGTCGTAAGAGCTCACAGTGCGAGCGGCACTTCGCACCTCTCGCTGCACTTGCTACTAATGCTAAAAATTAACAAAAAATAAAAAATTAATAAAACCCTATATATGTTTGAGCAGGGATGTATACATGTACTAACTTTAACAGTATAGACAACTTCTTCAGTGCCATATCTAGTAGACACAACCTTACATTTTATTTTTTTTCAAATAAAGTATATTCCCAAATTTTGTATTTAGATAACTGTAATCTATTATTTTTATTTATTAGCATGATTAGAATGGATTTTTTAAATAAATTTTAAAGAATACATTGTAAATAAATAACAAGCAAACACCAAAATTCAGCACAGTCTCAGAAATACAGCCAGTTGAGGATTTTGAAAATGCAGCCTAGCTATTAAATCGATATCATACTACATGTAGTAAGATAATGAGTATAAAAATTGCAAATAACAAAATTTGAATAATTATTATACCCCCCGCAAACGAAGTTTGGGGGGGGGGGTTATATTGGAATCAGCTTGTCCATCTGTCTGTCCGTCTGTCTGTAGACGAGATTTTGTCCGGACCATTTCTTGGAAACTGTTGCAAGGATTTGTCTGAAAATTTGTACACTTATTCTTTGCCATATGAAGGTGTGCACCTGGTATTGTCATCATGATTGGATAATTTTTTTGCATTTTACAGGTGTTTTTTTTTTCATTTTTATTATGTGGTTTTGTCCGGATCTGTTCCCAGAGACTATTGCATAGATTTGTATGAAAATTTGTACACTTATTATTTACCATATGAAGATCTTCACCTGGTATTTTCAACATTATTTGATAATTTTTCTGCATTTTACAAGTGTTTTTTTTTTTTCATTTTTATTGACTTAGTCATTTCGGGTTCATGTCTAAGGTTTGAGACATAGAATCTAGAACATCTGTACAAAAATGTGAACTACAGCTTAAAACTACTCATTAGTCTACAAAGTAAAAAAAAAATCACAAAGTATTAAAAACAGTTTTTACATTACACAGCAGATAGTGTAAATCCATTTGTCCCTTGGGAGTAATGAGTGGACATGCATCCAGTTAAAGATTAATAATGATTAATGAGTTCAGTGTGGGAAGCTGTTAGGGCATCTCTGATCAAGCAGGTCTTATCTATATCTCCTTGGAATACGTTCTATTTCCACTATGGAAGAGTTATACTTCTTAGTGTGCTCTTTTGTGAAAAAGTCGGAAAATATACAAATCTCGCGGGATTTCTGGGACAAACGTAACATAAACATGTAAACAATATGTTGAATGTCGATGAACAATTCCTAAGAAAATGCAAATGAAATATTTTATTGATGTGGACTTTATATACATCAAGAGTAGGAATGACAATGATATCAATTTATATCTATTGTTGATCGTATATATCTATTTATCGTATGGTACATCTAAATACAATACACATGCCTCGGAAATGTCGTATTTTTTATTAATGGATGATAAATTTAGGGTTCTCACTCTCTTACATATGTCTTTTAGTTCTTCTATTCTTTAATTGGAATGACAAATACATTTAACATTTAAAATTGGATTGAGATTGGCATGTTTTGTATTATCCGCAACGCCATGCTGTCCCAGTCAGACGACCGAACGCGCCTCTAATTTTGAAGAGTTCACTGATGGAAATAGAACATATTGGGCAGAAAGAAATAAAGATCTCTGTTGTCTAAATCTCTTAATTGTAATTTATGTCTGTCAAAACACATAGTTACTGGAAACAGCCTTCTATTTTTAAAATGAGTTTGATATAAAGGTATTAAGATCAATTTGATTTTGTATAATTAATTATGATATTTTTTTTTCAACAATCAATTTGCAGAGTGTCATGTCTCACAAAGATGACAGATAGTTGCAAACTATTTTTTCAATGTAATAAAAAGTACTAGTATTGATGTTTTATTAGGCTGCACCTTAGTTTCATTCATTAAAAAAAAATATAATGAGTAATTAAATTTTCACTCTAAATGTTTAAGCAAATTGTGAACACCTCTCACATCTAGAAAACATTTGTGATTTGGTACCTTCTCTGAAAAACCCAGCGGGGGGTATTTGTCCCTTTTGGACAGTTCTAGTTTTTTATTGATAAATAAAGATTTTGCTTAGTATATACATGTATTATTATTTAATAAAAGAAGTCATAAGAGGGTCTTTTCAACACATTTTTTTTTATGAAGAACAAAGATAAATACATGTAAATTGAATATTGAAATACCTATTCAATTTGTATATACATGTAGTACCATTGATGTTGTTTTGTTTTAAGGCTGCAGGTGTAGTGGTTGAACTGATCAAGTCAAAGAAAATGGCAGGCAGAGCCATGCTCTTAGCTGGGCCTCCAGGAACTGGAAAGGTATGAATTAAAATATCTGAACAAAATATCGGAACATGCTCTTGATTATGATTTAACATTTTGAAAATTGTCTGTCAAAAATACAATTGTTGTACATATTTTTCTTAATTTTACTACAAATATGTCACTATTGACAAATGAGCTAGGACAGTCTTTCTTATGAAATATGATCCAGACAGAAAATCTTGAGTAATTTTAAGCTGATGATCATGCAAATTGTATGATATTTAGGGATATGAGGAATAATTACATGCATTTGACAGTTTGAAAACTAGGGCTGTGTCAATATATCGAATATTCAATACGTATCGATTTTCAGGAATGTATCGTATCGAAAAAATAACTTCCAATACGTATCGGACAGGCAGTTTTCCTTATAATGCTGTAAAAAAGTTGGAAATTTCAGTTACCAAAGATTATTTTTAACTGTTTTGAATTAAAACTGGTCAATAATGAAATAAACATTAAGGAGATAGCACATCTTAAATAACTATTACGAAATACATAGACAACTATATTTTAACATGTTATGTTAGACTCACCCAGTTTTTATGAAATTTATGCATTAAATGTCATTTACAAGACATTTGTGAAAGACTTAATAAATAATCCAATATATCGCATATCGCTTTAAAAAATATCGTATCGTATCGAAATATTTTGCTCAATACACAGCCCTATTGAAAACAAAATAACCTAGCTTTACATACTTTTGTGATCCTAGACTTACAAGACTAATAGTCTACTGTCCTGTAGTATGTAATATGGTTAATTATTTTTTTTTAATATCAACTTTACAACTGATAGCTATATAATTTCCGTAGTATAAGTGAAAAACAAAAAAATATTAAAAAAGGTCATTTGGGGCAAGAAGTAAACAAGAACAGGTTGAGTCTCCATTACACCCTCCCTTGCTCCGTGCAGATTATTGCTTTGTCGTCAGAATTTTAATTTTGAGGTATTGCATCATGTAGAATAGAGTTTATAATATTCATATAATAGCATGATAGCATCATGACATTAACTTTGTAGACTGCCTTAGCCCTGGCCATCGCCCAGGAACTGGGAACTAAGGTACCCTTCTGTCCGATGGTAGGGAGTGAGGTGTACTCCTCAGAAATCAAGAAGACAGAAGTCCTGATGGAGAACTTCCGCCGGGCCATCGGACTGAGGATCAAAGAGACCAAGGAGGTTTACGAGGGGGAGGTGTCGGAACTGACCCCTGTAGAAACAGAGAACCCCATGGGAGGTAATTCAAATACAGAAAGAAGATCATTTGGGTTTAAGACAGGGGGTTTGTGTAAATATTTTTAATTACTGTTCCTTAAAATGTGGCCTTATATAAGAGTTCATTTTGTGTCAAAATGTCTATGTCCACCAATGATGGCAACCTACACTATTTTGAACTATAACTACATGTAATTCTTGCTAATTGAGAATTGTTATATACATCATTTTCAAGTTTTAGAGAGTATATTGCACTTATAATTCCAATCTTTCTCATTAAGGACACGTTATACAAAAAAAGTTGTATGCATGGATTGATTTATATTTTTGGACTTATTCTGGTTGTAAATGATGCATATTTCAAATTGCAAAAATATTAAGAAATTTGTTCAAATTCCTTCTTCTTTTGCAATCATCCTTGTAAATCTTTGCAGATTTTTATCACTTTATAGGACATTATTTAGAAACTTTAACTAATTAATAGTGAAACATTTTGAGGCTTAGCTTATCCAATTTATTTATACATTGTATAAACATAGATTTATTTGTTGTTTTCATGATATTTGAACAAAATTTGTTTTATTCGTCCTTAAGAGTGCATGTATCAAAGTTGTAATTTTTTTTTTGCAGGCTATGGAAAGACAGTCAGCCATGTTGTAATTGGGTTAAAAACAGCAAAGGGAACAAAACAGCTGAAACTAGATCCATCTATATATGAGAGCCTACAGAAAGAGAAAGTAGAAGTAGGGGACGTGATTTACATAGAGGCCAACAGTGGAGCTGTCAAGGTAAAGCAATGCGACTGAGTTTGTTGTTCATGGAGTCGGGGAATCTTGAATGTAAAGCTCAAAAGTGTGTTCAAATTATGAAGGTTATTGCAATGTAAAATTATTTAAAATATTATGATTTCATTGGAATTTTTTTCTTTATTTTGTTTTGTATGAAAATACCTGTCAGATGTATTTTTGGAAATTTCTATGAAATATTTTTCTCCACAGAGACAAGGTCGATCAGACAGCTATGCCACAGAGTATGATCTAGAGGCAGAGGAATATGTCCCCCTCCCCAAAGGGGATGTCCACAAAAAGAAAGAGGTCATACAGGACGTCACACTCCATGACCTTGACATTGCTAATGCCCGACCACAGGTAACATTGAAATCGAGTTTACTTTCTGTACATCTAAATGTATAACAGAAAATGTCTGAAAAATGTGATCCAAATATTGATTCTTTCAGGTAGTACATGTCATTTCACTGTTTGGTAAAAGATGTGAAACAACAGCATTTACTATTTTTGTACATGTATAAACAATGTCAATCTGTTGAATCTTTGTTACCTTTATAGGGAGGACAAGACATTATGTCTATGATGGGTCAGCTAATGAAACCAAAGAAAACAGAAATTACAGGTAACTATTTTGAAATTTGAAAATGACATGCATTTAATTTTTGAAATAGAATTGAATCTTCCTCTATTCTATAGTGTTTATCTCTCAAAAACAGTGTAGGTGACTGGGAAAAAAAAAAGCGGGGAAATTTCAAACACTGTAGCACCAAAAAATCCTCCATTTATACATGTACATGTATATTGAAAACCAGCACCACAAAATCTTCCATATATATCTATACTTATAAATTAATAAATTTTGCAAATAAACTCCGAAACGGGTGCACCAGAGTTCTTACTTACTCCTCTAACAATACACTAGATACAAGCTGATGTCTGTAAACTATATTTAGATTTCACTTGCATAGTAAGTATCGTACATTAAATTAAAAGTCTACTTTCATTTTCTATAAACAGCCACGAAATAGCTAAAACGTGAGTACGGTGGCATTTCCGGTTGGCGGATCTAAGTTACTAGCAATTTTTAATGAAACTGACAACAAGCAATCGTTTATTTATTACATAAAACGTCATCACTGAATTATTCAATCAAAACTCGATTTAAATGATATAAAAGAAATAAGTTGTGATAACCGATTAAAAAGGGAAATGTGCAAAATATTTTCGTCATTCACCGATCTTTATATTGACGGAAGCTTCTAGAACATCATATAGCATCGAGCCCGATGTTAAGAAAAAAACGAGGCGATTAAAGCTACATGACCATAAAAAAAGCTTTTGTGTAAATGGTCATAATTGAAATAATGGTAAATCACTGATAACACTATAAGTTGTGAATATAATTATATATCGAAAGACTATTACATATACATGTATGTAGTAGGTTTTCGTAATAAATTTATCGGTAAAATTTATATATATTCCTTACTGAGAGCATCGTGGCAACGAACCCGAAGTACAATTTGTACTTCGTAATAAACTTGCTTACATGAAAAGAGAAAATTAATGAACAAGGTATTGTTTAAATACAATTAAAGATGTAAAATTTTGCGCTTTAATCAATACACAGTTAATTTATGAATACAATCTTTTATAGTTGCAATAATGTAGCCATCTCCTTTTTTGAGGGAGGTGGGGGGGGGGGGGAGGGGGAGAGGCCAGAAAATATCAGATCAAAAAAAAAAAAAAAAATCGGAGAGGGCTACATTATTGCAGCTTAGTCTTTTGTATCAAATACTCAGCCTATTCATAGGGCGTTAAAAGCTAATTTTTACACAGGTACTTGGTTCTTGGTTTATAAATATGTATGTACCTTATTGATAGGTAAAAAAGTAATTTAAAGTACATTTTAACATATCAATAAGGTACAAACATATTTATAAACCAAGACTCAAGTACCTGTGAATTTTTACCCCCCCCCCCCCCCCCCCCCCCTTATTCGTTGCTTTTATCCTTGATGGAAATGAAATAAGAGCATCTGAAGTACAATATCCATAACATAGTATAACAGGTTTCACAATAAACGTCAATTAATGAAATTGCTATTTTTTAAGTTTAAAAAAAACAACAAAAAAACAGGGGGGGGGGGGGGGGGGGGGAGGATAGGTAAATCTACTTCAGGCGGGATTTTGAACAAAGTATTTGTTCCTGCTATAAGCCTGTAGGCTGTCAGTAGAGAACTACAATATATTTTCTGTCGGTAGTGGTATAAATTCAATTCCCCGCGCTTGCGCAGGATTTCATCTAGTATATATATATATATATATATATATTTATATATATATATATATATATATATATATATATATATATATATATATATATATATATATATATATATATATATATATATATTGAAAGTCATTAACGTTATGGATGACTCCTGGAATTATGTAGTCAGTCTTGTAATTCCACAATGTAATGGTAAAATATGTCACACTTTAAAAGTCTGAACTGGAGTCCAGTTATTAGCTCACCTGAGCTGAAAGCTCAAGTGAGCTTTTCTGATCACATTTTGTCTGTAGTCCGTCTGTCTGTCTGTCTGTCTGTCCGTCTGTCCATCCGTCTGTAAACTTTTCACATTTTCGACTTCTTCTCCAGAACCACTGGGACAATTTCAACCAAACTTGCCACAAAGCATCCTTGGGTGAAGGGATTTCAAGTTTGTTCAAATGAAGGGCCATGCCCTCTTCCAAGGGGAGATAATTAAGAATTTGTGAAAATTTGGTGTCATCTTTTAAAAATCTTCTTCTCAAGAACCATTGAGCCAGAAAAGTTTGTACTTATGTGAAACCTTCATTACATAGTGTAGATTCAAGTTTGTTCAAATCATGACCCCTGGGGGTAGGGTGGGACCACAATGGGGGATCAAAGTTTTACATAGGAATATATAGGAAAAATCTTTAAAAATCTTCTTCTCAAGAACAACAAAGCCACAATTAGTCATACTGATATGGAATCATCCTCAGGTAGTGTAGATTCAAGTTTGTTAAGATCATGACCCCCAGGGGTAGGGTGGGGCCACAATGGGGGATCAAAGTTTTACATAGGAATATATACGGAAAATCTTTAAAAATCTTCTTCTCAAGAACAACAAAGCCACAATTAGTCATACTGATATGGATTCATCCTCAGGTAGTGTAGATTCAAGTTTGTTAAGATCATGACCCCAGGGGTAGGGTGGGGCCACAATGGGGGATCAAATTTTTACATAGGAATATATAGGAAAATTCTTTAAAAATCTTCTTCTCAAGAACAACAAAGCCACAATTAATCATTTGGTATGAAATCATCCTCTGATAGTGTAGATACAAGTTTGTTCAAATCATGACCCCTGGGGGTAGGGTGGGGCCACAGTGGAGGATCGAACTTTTACATAGGAATATATAGGGAAAATCTTTAAAAATTTCTTCTCAAGAACAACAAAGCCACAATTAGTCATACTGATATGGAATCATCCTCAGGTAGTGTAGATTCAAATTTGTTCAAATCATGACCCCCGGAGATTAGGGTGGGGCTACAATGGGGGATCAAATTTTTTACATAGGAATATATAGGAAAATTCTTTAAAAATCTTCTTCTCAAGAACAAAAAAGCCCCAATTAGTCATATTGATATGGAATCATCCTCAGGTAGTGTAGATTCAAATTTGTTCAAATCATGACCCCTGGGGGTAGGGTGGGGCCACAATGAGGAATCAAAGTTTTATATAGGAATATATAGAAAAAAAATCTTCTTCTCAAGAACAACAGAGTCACAATTAGTCATATTGATATGGAATCATCCTCAGGTTGTGTAGATTCAAGTTTTGTTCAAATCATTACCTCAGGGGTAGGGTGGGGACACAATGGGGGATCAAACTTTTACATAGGAATATATACGGAAAATCTTTAAAAATCTTCTTCTCAAGAACAACAAAGCCACAATTAGTCATATTGATTTGGAATCATTCTCAGGTTGTGTAGATTCAAGGTTGTTCAAATCATGACCCCTGGGGTAGGGTGGGGCTACAATGGAGGATCAAATTCTTACATAGGAATATATAGGAAAATTCTTTAAAAATCTTCTTCTCAAGAACAACAAAGCCACAATTAGTCATATTGATATGGAATCATCCCCAAATATTGTAGAATCAAGCTTGTTCAAGGCATCCTCCAGTAGTAGGGTGGGGCCATAATGGGGGATCAAAGTTTTACAATAGAACATATACAGGAAATATCTTTAAAAGTCTTCTTCATTCTCAAGAACAACAAAGCCATGATCAGTCATATTGATATGGAAGCATCCTCAGGTAGTGTACATTCAAGTTTGTTCAAATCATGAACCCCCACCCCCATCTCATCCTCAGAAGGTTTATATTCAATTTCATTCAAAACATGGCACCTTGGGGTAGGGTATGCCTAGAACAGGCGATCAAAGCTTTATATATGAATATATAGGAGAAATATAGGAGAAGAAATCTGCTGACGAAGAACAGCAGGGCCATATTGACTCAGGTGAGCGTTGTGGCCCATGGGCCTCTTGTATTTCTTTAAAATACCTTTTTCAGACAAGCTGCGGAAGGAAATCAACAAGGTTGTGAACAAGTATATTGATCAGGGTATTGCTGAACTGGTGCCAGGTGTTCTGTTCATTGATGAGGTTCACATGTTGGATATTGAGTGTTTTACCTACCTCCACAGAGCATTGGAGTCCACCATAGCACCTATTGTGATATTCGCCACCAACCGTGGAAAGTGTACCATCAAGTAAGGTTCATGAAAAAGTAACAGTCCATTTCGTATCAGGCTCGTACAATCTTAACATCTCATGGGTCATTGTTTAGTTATATCCTTGCTGGGAGCATTTGAAATTGAAGAGAGAAAAATTCTATCATTGAATATGCATTTTTTTTTGTTGAAGAAAATCCCCTTTTATAAATGATGCTAATGTTCTCAATTTTCGGGGAAAAGAATAAAACTGCATGTAAATATAGGTCATCAATAGACTAACAATTTTCTTTGAAGCTTTTTACTCCAGATCCCCTGAAAATGATACAATGATATTTTTGTATTTTACAGAGGTACAGAAGATGTTGTAGCCCCCCACGGTATACCCCTGGATTTGTTAGACAGGGTGATGATCATCAGAACGTTACCTTACTCCCAGGAGGAAATGGTGCAGGTATGTCAACTCGAGACAGTTACTGGTACTACAGTAAAACTCGGTTATAGCGAAGTCCTGGGGACCCTTGAATGTACTTTGTTATATCCGTATAATGAATTTGTTAAAGTATATATAACAAATTCACTATATGCATCTTTTCTTTCAAGTATGACTAAAAAATATGTTCTGGAAGGTATAAAATACAAAATTCTACATTGAGTACTAAATCTTTCTGATGAATGGAATTTCAAATCTAAATCCTGATAAAAAATAATGTCATTTTAATATTTTTGAAATTTGAGGTATTGGAAATTCGTTATAAAGGATGTAATTTTTATTATTTTTAACCTCTATGGGACAAAATATCAGTTCGCTATATCCGTAAATTTGTTATATCAGAGTTCATTATCGCCGTAATGTCTTACTGGATTTGTTAAGAATTTCGCCGGGGATTCAAAAAAACTTTGCTATATCCATGAATTCACTTTATCTGTGTTCATACTAAACGAGTTTCACTGTATTTATAACAGATGACTTATTGTCCTATTTTAAGTAAACTTTGGACAATATCAGATTATTATCCACCTTTTTCTACAATTATATTTACCCTATTATAAAACTGATTTTATTTGTCCAAAGGAGACCCACTTTCGTGATGACTTCAAAAGAGAATTTTGCTTGTGACACGTCTTCTATTACATATATACTCTAACACGTAAATTTTCTATAGTGACTACATGCTATAGTATGACTGAATTCACTTGTTTGCAGATTCTGAAAATCCGATCTCAGACAGAGGGAATACAGATAGATGATGAATCCTTGGCACAGCTGGGACAAATTGGTGTTCAAACAACTTTAAGGTATTCCAATGCTTCTTTGGTCATTTGTCTAATTAAGTGTATTACACAGACTTTACTCACTAAAAATTTGACATTAAAAAAAATGAATGATAAAGCAGACATTTACCAAACCAGAGTAAAACAAATGTTATTTTTTTTTGTCACAGAATATCATGATTCATGAATGATGTTGCAGCTCAATCCACCTCTCAGAAATAGAAACTCTGCTTGCATCTCATAGAGCATTTTAAAAAATTTTTCTCTCCAAGAAATAGAATATTTCTTTAAAACACTCTTTAATATACTTGTTTTACCTTTGCAGATACTCTGTACAGCTTTTGACACCAGGAAATCTTCTGGCCAAGATTAACGGAAAGGACGCCATTTCCACCGAGGAGATAGAAGAAATTAACAAACTGTTTTATGATGCCAAGTCTTCAGCCAAAATCCTGGCAGAGCAAGAAGACAAATACATGAAGTGAAAACTGTGTGTTCAAAAACAGTGACAGATCAGAACAAAGTGATAGATTGTGAACCTTTTCTATTGGAATCCATGAACAAACTGCTGTCGACATTGCAACATTGCCCAGGCTTTGTCTCATGAGAAGAAATCTCACTTCATGTTGCATTTTCTCATCAGCTGATACATTTCTCTTTATATGTACATGTACATAATGCTGCATTAAATTTATTGAAAACATAAACTTGCCTGATTCAGTTTTAACTATCCCTTCTGAATTTGGATACATTTAACATTCCTTCAGGTCTTTCATATGACAAAGTGCATGTACATGTAATATAGAACACAAAATATTCACATCCATAGACAAATGGGAATGACGATCAAATTTATGAAATTTAAAATTTTAACATTGAACAAATCATGTACATGTACAACATAGTAGAAGCTATGATTTGTTTTGCCAAAAACTTGATCTATTACTAGCATGCAAATGAGCTTTACATTTTGAGTATGCTTGCCAAATCTTGAGCTTTCATCCAGTAGGAAAATATTTTAATACATGTACATGTATTTACAAAGGCAGTTGGAGATTAGAAGGCAGAGAGTGTGTCTAATGGGTCTAACCTTTGATCTCTTCAGAGAAAAAGGAAGAGAAAACCATATTATTTGTTTTTTACTTATATTTATTACAAGGACATGTATGTAAAATTTCTAATGCACACTCTCAGTTTATGGAGCATGCAGGTGAAATACCTAATGTGTACTCTGTGCAGTAGGCAACTATGGCATATTGGAAAATTAAGCAAACACTGGCCTGATCAAAATATAACTCAAAGAATAGTATTTGGTTCAATGACTTGATATGTTTAAAACATTAGAAAAACCAATAACTGTACTTTACCTGCTAGATCACTTGCACATAATAATCCTTTTTCTCTGTCACTTATCATTTAGGAATAATATTACTGCCATTGACTTGAAAATCAGTGGGATCTTCCTTTGATCTTTATGCTTCTCTAGCATGTTTGAGAAAAGTCAAATGGTAATTTTACAATATAGTGTTATTGCCAAATGATACAGAATTAAAATTGTACAACATATAAAATGCTCTAAGAGCTTATTACTTTCTTTCATTCTGTGACCCTAAGATCAATAGGAAAGTTCCTTGAGCCATTTACCTCCTACTCAAAAATTGATAGGGCAAAATCCAGTGTCTCAAGGAAGGGTCAGGGTGCTGTACATACCATGTCCACAACACTATTTACATGACATCATTCCTTAACCTTGACATACATGTATTATGGAAGGTACTAAACTGCACAACCCAGTTTACATTTACAAAAGTTTTATGTCAGAATTGTAAACTAGAAGTCTAGAAGGGGTGGGGCATTGTTCTTTCCATAAAAAAAAATATTTGGATTGCTTGAAGAAGTGTAAGCCCACTAAAAATCGAGATCATACTTCTTAAATCCAAGAAGTCTTGCTTGTAGTTGTACATGTAAATAACATCAACAAAAACATTTTTTCTCCATTTTTATTTTTCTTTCTCACATTTTGTAACATATAAAAAAATTCTATAATGAAACACACTTATTCACTTCATTCTTCCAGACATAACCTACATTGTTACCACAACAATGAAGAACCATTACCACTAATCAAGCATCTCGGTGAGAAAACAGATTCCTTGGACTGACAATAAGAGCTTTTTTTCCAGAAAACTGAGTGAAAGCTTACATGCAATGCTTCTTTAATAAACAACCTTTTCCTTTCCATCTTTCATCTTTAATACTTTAGTTTTTTTCACTATCAAAAATGATAAATATAGTCATAAATACAAATGTAAATATGACATTATTTTTCTATATACAATTCAAACAAAAATAAATACAGCTGTTCAAAATATAAACAATTTTTTTAAAGGTTATTTTTTTTAAAATAAATTACATAAAGTATTCATTCCATCCTCACTTATCAACAAAGGGAAGCAGTATGACTGATGTGTTTTAAAACCTTTAAAATGAAATGTCCTGTCAGTTGTATGAAAAGGCTGATGGAGAAATGATTTAATGTCTTTAAAGTCTAGTCTTTGTTTAAAATAATAGTGTGCTCATTCCACCCATTTCACTCTGTTCCTTAACGAAGATTTCAAAATACTGGTAGATAATGGTAACAGCTAACAAAATACCAGTTCCACTTCCAATAGCCCCTGTAAAACAAAAAGCATGAAATCATTTCTTTTTCCAGTTCCATGGTCATTGTGTTTAGCAAATCATTTCTTCATTTTACAGTTATCCCCCTTATGTAACCACAACTTATTTAGAACACTTTGAAGAAAGTGTTCATGTTAAAAAAAAATACAATGTCAACTGAGGTAGTCAGTTTCAATTTGACCCCTGTTCTCAATCAACTTGCCCTGTCCACCTAAATATTAAAGTTTTTTTACAGAAAATCAACCAAATGAAAATATATAAAGTTTTGCAATTAGTTTGTCCCATTGTTAAACACTTACATGTTTGCTGCATTTTCATCCATTCTTTTTTTAAGAAACAGATGTTCTTAAAGATTATAAATACAGTGAAAGATGTTCAGTAATCACTTACCTAAGAAATCGGCTAAAACTGACAGAGCTCCGATACAGAGACCACCAAAAGCTGCAGCGGTGGGGATGTAACGGTTTAACTCATGAATCATAGACTGTTCTCTATGTCCTCGCATTACCATCTGCTGCTCCTTCAGTTGTTTAGCAACCTAAAAAATAAAGGATTTCTCTTTATCTTAAAAGTCTCTTAACAACTTCAAAGACTAAAACTGATGTGCTTTTTAAAAACTTGTCTTAAGAATGAATTTGTGGTACAGATGTATTAAAATTTTCAACATTTTAAAAATCTTTAAGTTTCCATTTTTAATATTAGTTCAATACAGTTGAACTTCAGTATCTCGAACACTGACATCTCAAATACCACGGATATTTCAAAGTGATTTGGAAGTCCCAACCACTAATTCTTTGAGTACATGTATTTAACCCTTGATATCTCAAATACTGGGATATCTCAAGAGTTTTTCATTGGTCCCATCGAGTTAGAGATAACGAGGTTTGATTGTATTTGTACTTCCAACTTTACTCATTCTTATCATACTTACATCCTTTGCACTTGAGCCTGACACATCAATCCAGGTTTTGGAGAAGAATGCACAAGATCCCAGCATGAAGATCATGTACAGTACAGCGTGAATAGGATCCTCCACGACGTGGGACAGAGTCTCTGGTGGAGACAGGTAGTAACAGAGACCCCCAATGGGATAGGAACGGGCAGGTCCGCCACCCCCAACATCCTGTCACAGATAACACATATAATTAGATCTCAGAATTATTTACTGCTCTTAAATTTTTATAATGTCTTAGGGGACATTTCTAGTTCACATGTTGGTTATACTTAAAAGAATAAAAGAAAGATGGCTTTAAAAATGAGGGTAGAATAAAGGTGAGATGATTAGGGCTGTCACGAGTACCCGAAATAACCGAGAACCGCGGTCCAAGTTGTTCGGTTCGGTTCCGGTTCCATTTTTCCGGATTTCGGTTCGGGTCTGGTTTATATATTAGAGTCTGTTCTATACAAAAAATGGCGTCAAAATCAAAGGAATGATGACGATAACAGTGATAAATAAACATCACAACTGAAATCTACTTCATTCCATGACAAAACACTTGTCACGGAAGTATTAGATTATTATCAAAACGAGCAGGAATGGTCAGGTTGTGGCTAATAGTAGGCCAAATCACCGATGTCTAGACGTTCGCATGGTTAAGACTTGTTTCCAATGTAAATTTAATGTAACAAATAAAGATTTTTCAAGTTAAATTCATGAAATTAAGGTTTAAAATAGTTGTAAATCCCCGACCCGAAAAACCCGAAACCGAACCGAAAATTTAGAGAACTGTCCCGATCCAAAAAATTTTGGAACCGTGACAGCCCTAAAGATGATTAATTTATTTTCCATGTTTCATTGATAAATCAAACATTACTTGAATAAAAAAGTTCCTCATTACTTACAGCCCACACTCCGAGTAAATTGATCAAGAAATTTCCACTAAACTTTGTTGCCAAAATCTGCAAAACAAATAAAATTGATATTGATCACTTCCATATAGCATTACAAGATGAATAAGAATGAATGCATATGAATGCAAATACATGTATACCAAGAGATAAATCTTTAGATTTTTTTTCAAACTGACTCGCCTGTGAGATAAGATAGAGATTTGATACAAGAGCAGACTGGAGAATGATGGGGATATTGGAGGTATAGAAGAGTTTGATTGGATAAGAGCTGTACTGTCCCCTGTATCGGGCTGATTTGATTGGAAGGTCAACACGGAAGCCCTGGAAAAAAAAATATCAAAATTTACAAAACAAGTCTCTCTGTTATTTGGCCAAAATTTCCATTAAATCGCATGTAACTTAATGATAAACTGAAATTTTCTTTTACAATCTTCAGGCATTGAAGAAGTAAAAAACGTGGCTAAAATCCTTACCTGGAAGTATATGACAATACCAAACACAAGGATTGTAGCCAGAAGGTTCATGAGGTTAGGGAGGTTCTGTCTGTAGAAGGCTTCTCTCAGGGCTCGGACTTTGTCATTCTTGGTGGCCAGAAGATGGAATAAAGCAATGACAGCTCCTTCAAATTCAGTTCCTGTGGGAATACGATAATTCATTGAATTCATGTCTCCTGTACAGACTTTGCATATTTTCAGGTAATCATTTTTTTCACTAGTTCAAAGCCAATCAGATCTGTTGCTGAATTTTTAAAAGTATTATTTTTCATTTTAGAAAATTTTCACAAGTGCATCATAAATAAAAATATAAATGACCATGCAGGAAAATGAAAACCACAATGTGTTTAATCCAATCAATAATCTTTAAACATAAAAAGTAGGGCTGGGTATTGGCTTTTAACTTCGTATTGCAATATATTGCGATATTTTCATCTGTAATGCGATATGTATTGCAATATTTTCAATAAGTTTTTTTCTAATAATTTTAAACCTCCATTTATAAGCAGAATGCATATACATGTACATAATGTAACTTTTATAAATATGTTATCACAAGAAATTCATGTTGATTTCACTACAGTTTTGCAACAAAAATTAACAAAATGCAACCATACAACAACAACATTACTGTTTGGTATGATTTAAAATGTTTCCTACATATTAAATTTTACTTTAAAAACCTTAAACCCAAGCATTTTGCCAGTATATCGGTACTGAAAAAACGTATCGCAATACGATATTTTTTGCTAACGAATCGCAACATACTGGAATATCGATATTATTGTGCAGCCCTAATAAAAAGTTCTGTAAACCTTGATGGATATCCCTACAAAGTTTAGAACTTTAAGACTGACCAACATGCTACCAATAATGCCTTTACCCTTTCCAGGAGAGTTTTCCCACACATACCTCTGCCAGTGTTGACAGTAGCTGGACTGAAGGCCTTCCAGACAATGGTCTCGCAGATGTTGGTGGCAATGAAGAGGGAGATTCCAGAACCCAAACCATAACCTTTCTGTAGCAGCTCGTCCAGTAGGGATACGATCAGACCAGCCACAAATAACTGTACAACACAAATACATCATCAATAACCCAAACAAAAAAGTGATTAAAGCTACCCAGTATATATCTGTCAAGTGACAAATAAAATGGTAAGAATCTAGGATCTTAAATCTTACACCACAATCAGGTTATCATTTATGGAATGGATAAGATTTCAGTGTGCAGTGTACCTGAATGATGATGAGAAGACAGACACCAGCTCCAATTTCAGATGGTTCACCGTACATGCCAGTCATGACATAAACAATGGCCTGTGTAACCGTCATCACCATAGCAAACACTGTCAAAATATACAAAATGTTTGAATAACACATCATGTCAAAAGTCAAAACTGCTGTAAAACTCATTTCACAGTGAAACTAAAATAACAACTGTCAAGACAAAACATTTAATAATTTTTTTCAAAATCTTTTCCCCTTGATCCTTACGTTTCTGGGCTCCATTGAAGAGGGCACGATCTTTAGGGGTATCACCAACTTCAATGATTTTGGCACCAGCCAGAAGCTGCATGATGAGACCAGAGGTCACGATTGGTGAGATTCCCAACTCCATCAAAGTTCCTGAAATACAGTAGTTAACAGTATGTACCTTGTGATTATCAAAAAGAAATTTTGCTGTTCACTTCTTTATGAAAATTAACTGAAATATTTAAACTAAAATACTGTATGTAATTTTAAACGTATTTTTGCATTCTTATTTCACACAATATATTAAAAATCTGTTTTAACCAACTATTACATGTGACATTTTTTATTGATGTACCATCCACTGAACAATAGACTGCAAAAAATAATATTCACAATCAAGGCTTCCTGTTTCTTTTTAAAACCTTTTATTACTGTAGATCACTTTATTTTCGTGACACCTTATTTTCGCGAGATAGCTATTTGGTATTTATAAGCAAGACAAAATTTTCGAGAGCTACGCTTTTTGTTGTATATAATCTTTAACAATACAAATATACGCGAGAATAAAATTTTCGGGAGCAGACAGACTCGCGAAATTACGCGAAAATAAAGTTCTCGCGAATAAAAAGTGATTTACAGTAACATTTTGAACAGTTTTGCAAATATAAGTACATAGATAAATATCTGTGAGCTAGAGTTTTTTGCAAATCTCACTGATATTTCTTGCAAGCATATAAAAGTTGGTTTACAGCATGTAACGTATTAGAGGAATTTAACTGTTGAAATTTTTGAAAACTTGTGTTTTGATATCTCACCTCTGTTGGAGGCCATGATGACTCTCATCCAATAGAAAGGATCAGCTGAGTCTGAGGACATGATACCAAACAAGGGAATCTGTCAAAAGATCGGTTAGGGATAAGCTCAAAACTTAGGAAATTAATTTTCACTTTGTGGGCAATCAGAGTATTTTTAATGGACAGATTTATTACCTGACAGCAGACCAAGAAAATGAAGAGAGTGATGGCGGTCCATAGTACTTTTTCTCTGAACTGAATCTGAAAGAAAATTTAAGACGATATTTAATGTAAAGATATGTACAGCATAATATCTTGAAAACATAATGTGGGAGAGCTTAACATTCATTTCCTTTTTCATGAGTTTCTTTCTACAGTATTGTTCATTTTCTGTGCAATTCACCCATGTAAAATAAAAGTGAAGATAGAAAAAATAGCTGATAACAGTTCCTAACATACATTCTTATTAACACAAAGTTTCTTTTTTTCCAGACTTAGATAGTTCCTAAAAACCATTGAACCTCTGGTCCTATCCTACATTTTTTTAAAATAAGGACCACCAAAAATCATATCTTTGTTGGTCCTTGAAACCGTCTGTCGGTATAATTTTCCACGGTTCAATTCACGATACGCTAAACTGATATCTCAGTTCGGTTCAATCGGTCCAAAATTATCCGTTTTATTTCCTTCTTTACTATTTCAAAATGGCTTCCGCACAAAACGTGAGGTCGCCGATAACGCATTTAAACTCATCTCCAGCATCTTACAGACCTAATATTTAACACGGAGAAGGACTTAATATGATTATAAGTTATAGATGTTAAGACAAATGATAAATCTTTTAGATCTAAACGTATTCTTTGGTAATGCACGATATTTCTTCATGTGTGTATTTCGATGAAAATTCGCTGTCTTGTTGACTAAAAAGTAATAACACAAGAAACATGACAACTGGTTTTCTACGTAAATAAAAGGAATAAAAGAATGAATGTCTTCCTTTTTCATTCCAATCTAAAAGGAAGATTATTAGGAAAGGTCCCCGTAGTTCCCTGTAAATGTTCATTATTGGTTTAGAATGTTGTCACAACTCAAAGATCTACCTAACAATCCAATTCAAGTTAACAAAATGTTATTTTAATTATTATTAAAAAATATGAACATTTTGTATAACCCTGTCAAGTTTAAAAAAAAATATGATGAAAAACTTGAAAGACTTTTTAACCTTGTCATGTATCGTGATATGTATCGTATCGTGAACTGAATACCGTGATATGTATCGTATCATGACGTTAGTGTATCATTGCACCCCTATTGAATAATTTATTTAAATGTTGTTCATCGATAGTGCTTTTTACTTTACTTTTGTGGGTCCTGCAAAAAATTCCTGGAAGCAGGATCTATTGTCTTGCTTGTTGGTAACAAGTTTTCAAGAATTCTGGACTGATTGAATGGTTGAAAACCTTATGACATTCTTTCATTCTAAATTTTCCATCATGACACATAATAAGCTATATTGTTTTAGTTATAGAGGTGATGAAAGTGTAAATCACTTTTTCTATCTTAACATGTATCTTTTCTTTAAAATAAATTTTCACAAAATCAGACAATGTAAAATGAATTATGACACTTGAGGACACTGTTGACTTCCTGATTTTATGTCTTTAGGTTTTAACTTGACAAGAACATGTGATGTACACTAGACAATTATTCTTAAGTTTTGTGCCCCCAGGCAAAAACCATCTCCATAAACAAGTTTTTAAAAATTCAAAGATTGAATATAATTTTCCTGTGCAAAATAAGAATTTAAAAAAAAAAAAAAAAAGGCTAAAAGAAATCAGCGAGATGAGTCAGACAACAATAAATTTTATAAATCTTTCCAAAATATACTGTCAAGACTATGAATTTACTGCAGTGAAATGAAGATTGAAAAAAGAAATAGACAAGCTTTTTTTAATTCAACATGTTCAATGAACAGTTTCGAGAATTAACATATAGTGAAACTCAAAATGATTTAGCAAATAATAAGCAAAACAACACTAGAATAAAAATATAAATAAAGTCATACTTTTTCTTGTTACATTTGCCAACCTAGCTAGTAGCTATTACATTTACTTGATCATTTCTTCTGTGTTGACTACCATTTAATTACACAACATAAAGCATGATATTTAACTCAGGTAACTTAATAGAGAATCAAAGATTTGTTGGATTAAAATTTTTAAATTTATCTAACGAGTTGTTCAGTTGCAAGTATTACAGCACCATATGGATTTCTAAATCACAACATGATATTAAATTTGAAGATGTATATACCTTGCGATCTGGTTTAGATATTTCAGGCAAAACCGCACAAAAAGGCTTCACGAACTCTAAAAACTTTACTGAAACAAAAACAACATATTGATGATGTACTTTTAATGTAAACAGTATATAAAAAGTGTCCACGTCGACACGTGAAAGCTGTCATCGGTGCCAAAAAAGTAATAACATGTCATAAAAATATAATCTAATTAAAGATATTCAAAAACATTAACTTACTTCCCATATTGGGCGTTTTCAATTCAACGACCCGTCTGTATTTTTTCTCTTTGCTGAACTTTCTGTTGGTTGGTTTAACACCGGGATGCCAACTTCCACTTTCTTCGAAGAAAAGGACACGTTCACGTGACTTTAGACGAGATCTCGAGTCTGACGTATACGGAAGTCCACTTGCGGAAAAATAGGTCACAATCGGATATATCGGAAATATGCGAATTGCCTCTAGATAATTCATACATAATTTGTTAAAAAAAAAAAATCATTGAATCAATCAAATTCTTAGCAGTCTTTGCTGAATGTGTGCAATAATATGCGTTATTTTTTGCATTATTCCCCCCTTATTTTATTTTTTTTAATAATACAACGATTGTTTAATTAATAGACTTTTTTCACTTTGTAACTGATTTTTAACATACATGTAAGCATACCATAATGATCGATCCAGGAGAAATTCAAGAATTTTTTCATACACTACTATATTCATCATATAATTAAGTTAATTTACAAAATGAGTTCCCATTTTTATACTCATGTTTAGCATGCTCTTGTCGGAGTGTGTGTCAGGGGGATTCAGAAAATATTACCCGTGGAAATCCCCTCACCCCCAGAAAACACGGTCCACCCCTAGAAAACTTTTTTTGCTTGTCTAAACATTTCTGAGGATTTTTTTTTTAGTGGGTATGCCCCTCCCCCTTCTCTGAAAAAAAAAAAATCCTGGATCTGCGCACGTCCAGTCTTCATGAAGTTAATTAATTTCTTTCCTTGTTGTTAAGATGGAAATCAGAGCAATTTTTTTTGACTGCATATGTGTATCAAAGAGTTGCAGTTAAATTGAAAATGAGGGCGTTTGTGTTGAAAAAAGGCTCGACCGGGGGGAGGGGGGGATTACTCGAGAACGTACATGTATGGCCATAAGTGAGGAAATATTTTTTATGATATGTTTTATAAAAGTTTTTTGGAAAAAAGCATTGCAACGTTATTTGCATATAACATTATAAAATGCAGAATTATTTGTAGTTCTTCACATAATTCAAAATGATGATTTTTATATCTGTACATGTAGGCTTTGCAAAGATATCTGTCAAATGCAAAAGTTAAATTTCACGGGGACAAATTTGTAAAGAAATCAGAGTATATTTAGCTAAAAATTTTGACTTTACAATTTCATAAATGAATCATAATTTACTTAGTATTTTTAGGGAATACATGTGAAAAAAATGCACAATTTAATAAGTAAAAAAAAAAAAAATGGAAACAGGGATTAAATTGACCTCACAATATTTTTTTTATAATTTTTTTTTCAATGAAATATATAGTGAAAAAAAAATGAAGTGATTCTTCAATTCCCAAACGAGAATTTCACTTTTCGAAAGTTGTTTAATACAATGAAACATTATTTAAACCCAAACATTGTGTAGGTTTTTGGGGTGGAGGTGGGGTTTACACTCACTCGGGGACGTAGTTGACAGTATTTACATAACTTACATGTACTTTGATAATTTGCCTTACTAGGGATTCATTCGGTCAATATCTCTCAGGTTTAGACAATACTACATTTATTCACATGTGTTTGTAGTATTGGAATTGAGGTATTGACTCTTCTCAGTCACAATTGCACGACCTAGAGAAACACAAACTCTATCGGCCCAAAAGTGACTGGGAACCTGCACCGGGTAAATGCGGAGCCCTTGAGTCGTATATTGACGCCGTTGAGTCAGACATAGAGAAGCTCCTTTCAATGCCAAACAAGGTCCCCAGCAATTTATGTAAGGAAGAGAGACCCGCCTTACAATCATTAAAGAATCCAGATGACATAGTGATCAAGAAAGCAGAAAAAGGTTCTACAGTAGTAGTAGTTGATAAAGAGACGTACATGGCGGAGGCCCATAGACAACTCTCAGACGAACGTTTCTATAAGAAACTGGACTCTAACCCTACTAAAGAATTCTCCACCGCCATCACCAAAACTCTTGACGAAATGTTTGAGAAAAACGAGATTGGTATGAACGTCTATAAGACACTCAATCCTATTGACTGTAGACCAGGACAATTTTATCTGCTTCCTAAGATACACAAAGAAGGTATGCCCAGGTCGCCCTATAGTTAGCGCAATTGGACACCCCACGGAGAAAATTTCTGAATACATTGATTACATCTCCGTCCACACGTAGAGAATTTGCCATCCTATCTCAAGGACACCACGGACTACATTGTACATTAACAAGTCGCCCTCTACTGGCCTTCCAGTTCATACCCTTCTCGTGACTATGGACGTCACATCTTTGTACACCAATATTCCGCACGATGAGAGTAGAGCCTGTAGAGAAGTCTGGGATAGTAGATCCATACAAATTCCTTCTACCGAGTCCCTTGCCAAGCTCCTTGAACATGTTCTCAAGTATAACAACTTCATGTTTAATGGAGAACATTACCTGCAGGTTAATGGCACTGCTATGGGTACGAAAATGGCACCATCTAATGCCAATATTTTCATGGGCAGACTTGAACGCAACTTGCTACTTCAAGCACCATTTAGACCCCTTAGCTGGTTGCGTTTCATTGACAATATAGATATAAAGTGGGTGGAATGTCGCTAGAGCCTCGAGGCATTCATTTCGTTTGCCAACACCTTTCATCAGTCTATCAAATTTACAGAAAACGTATCTAATTCGAAAAACATATTCCTAGATACTACATCTACCCTGACTGATGGTGAAATCGAGTTCAGTCTCCACACGAAACCCACAGATTCCCATCTGTATCTTATGCCAATTAGCTGTCATCCCCCACACACATTTAAGGGTGTGCCTAAGGGTCTAGCCACCAGAATTCGGCGCATCTGTTCATCCCCTGCCTTTTATCAGGAACAAAGCGGTCTCCACAAGTCCCACTTATGCAAGAGAGGCTACAATGCCCACACCGTACAAACTGCTATTGACGAGATGGCGGGACATGACAGGCAAAACCTATTACGCTACAAGGAAAAAGACAATAGCGGCAGGGTCCCTCTGGTAACCACATACCATCCCGTCCTTAAGAACCTCAGCGGTATCCTTCAAAAGAATCTGCCAATTCTCCACTCAAATAAACGAATGGCAGAGGTCTTTAAGGAACCCCCATTGGCTGCATACAGACGCCCGAGGAACCTAAAGGACATGGTAGTAAGAACCAGATTGGACAATCCATTACCTAACGGGGACTTTAAAACTTGCTCTGACAGAATATGTCTTCTCTGTAAGCACAGCTCTGACACAGACAGCTTTAACAGCCCCATTACAGGCCGCAGCTACAAAATACTATGGAATTTGTCCTGTCAAACAGACAACTGCATTTTCTCATCAGTTGCAAAGTTTGCTCCAAACAGTATATGTTGGTGAAACAGGAGATCTCCGCAAGAAAGTCAATAATCATCGTTCTACCATTAGGAACAAAAAACTAAATGAACCCGTTGGGGAACATTTCAGCCTTGAAGGTCACAAATGGGAGAACATGACAGTAGTGGTTATTGACCATAATCCAAGATGGACAGACGCTCAGTGAAAAGGCAAGGAAAAGTTCTGGATGCACAGGCTGAAGTCCTTCCGCCCTAATGGTATTAAGAAACTAAATGACTTCACCAGGATGAACGTGAACTAGACCCATTAATCCCGGATTGTAACAAACAAGTTCATTCTCTCTATATAGTGTAAACTTTACCGTTAATTTGCATTTGCAATTCTAAAACAACCTACCCAAATATTTACAGCTTACATTTTTGTTTATGTCTTTCATCCTATTTCCAAATTTATAATATATCCAAATTCATATTTTAAAATTGCCCTTCCATATTATCTTTCTTTAATTTCTTTTTATCATGTATAGTTACGCTATTTTGAGAGAATAAGACAATGTACGATTTACTGCTAGCGCTTGGTCGTAATTAATTAGCGATAATTAATTCGTTCAATTATGTAAATCGCACTTCACCAGAGTACACCCGATAGACCGGACGCAATATTCATAGCGCTCCGGATTTCTTTGTTCACAACTGTTTATAAACGTCAAACTAAACATGTAACACTGTAAATATTTCGTGTTTGGTAGTTTAGTAGTAGTGCTAGTTGTTTTTGTTTCTCTGTTTCCTTTGTTTTTATGACTTCTTAACTTTTTTCTTTGTCCTGCATGAGGAAGGGACAGGTTGTCCCGAAAATTTGACAATTATTATTGTTCGTGTCGTTGGTCATTTTTAGTGCTTTATATAAATTTCCATCCGTGACCTTGTATCTACTTAGTAGTGCTTTACATGTATATATATATATATATATATATATATATATATATATATATATATATATATATATATATATATATATATATATATATATATATGAGTTAGTGGCAATTTTTAATGAAACTGACAACAAGCAATCATTTAATTATTTGATAAAACGCCATTAATGAATTATTCAATGAAAACTTGATTTAAGTAATATAGAAAAAAAGTTATTATTACTGATTAAAAAAACAAAATGTTCAATGTTCGTTTTCGCCAGTATCCAGTCTTATAGCTTATGGAATTTTTTTAGAACGTTAGATGTCATCGAAACCGATGTTAAAACAAAAACGAGGCGATTAACACTAGAGGAATATGAAAATGTGATGGGCATGGAAATAATGGTATAGCCAATAGATATCGCTATAAGTTAACGTTGTGAATATATTAATACATCGAAATAGTTTTACTAAGTTGTGGTTATAGACTTACCAGTAAAATGTGCATATTTGGCATTGAGAGCATCATGGCAACGAACCAGAATGTACAATCTGTACATTACAGTATATAAACTTGATAGAAAGAAAATGTCAAGTAAAGAAAATAGTATTATTCAAATATATAAAGTAAAAGTGGCTCATTGTAAGTTTCACATTTATCTAAAGATTCTAAAAATGTGTGCTTTAATCAATTTTTCTGCATACAGTCTAGGCCTATGCATAAGGTGTGAAAAGGGTAATTTATCCCTCCCCCCCCCCCCGCTCCCCGCGCGAAAAAAATGTGCTGGCACCTTCAGTAAAATGTGCACATTACTTCTTTTATCCCTAATGGAAACAGAGCACTCTCGAAGTACAATACGTATAACATACTACTACAGGTATCACAATAAAGTTGTTAACACGAGAAAAAGTCGATTAGTGAATTAGATTTTCAAGATAAAAAAAAAAGAAAGACGGGAGTAGTATAAGGGGTCTGGATGGGCGGGTCAACTGAGTGCACTTTTTGTCCCCCCAGATCCTGGATAGGCGGGTCAACTGAGTGCACTTTTTTTTGGTCCCCTGGCCGGTTCAATCTAGTATACACCCTGGAAAAACCCAAGTAAAAAAAAAAGGGGGTCTACGTTTAATCTACGTTTTGTGCTGAGTCAGGCTTAGGCAATACACAATCTTGGCATCGATTCAAGTATACCATTGTGACGTCATGTGTGTCATTCACACAGAGCAAACCTCTCTCTATTTTCTGAAAACGGAAAAAACAATAACACAGTCAAAAGTGTGTAAGATGATTTATTCAAAGTAAATGTGTACATAATATTTACTTTTTCTTCTGGAGTTTTAGGGTCTTCTCCGTCTGGGTAGTAGGAAGTTTCCTCTTGTTGTTAGCCTGCTTTTGATCCTGACTAATCTCTATTTTCTTTTCTAGATTTCCAATCTCATTCATTATCACTCCTCTAAACACACGAATTTCAGTAATCATGTCTTCTTTAAACTCACAAATAGTCTGTTGAAGTATCTCCATTACATTGGTCATTTGATCTAAGATATCACATATCAAACTTCTTTCATTTCCTTCAATACTATCCTGTGTCTCTGGTAAGGTTGCAGGTAAATTCATGGACTTTTCCTCTGCCATATTTTTTTACGTCTGTCTAGTACCAAGTGCCCACTAAGACTGATCCTAAATTTCCAGTTCTGCTTTATATACCCTTTTGTACGTACTGTGTACGTCTCAATACTTAGTCTTGGATCATCGAGCTACCTATGCATTGTGACGTCATACACTGTATAAATACAGCTTTTCTCCGACTTTCAGCTCATTTTGTTGTCAGATCTATCAAGATGAATTTTGATAGTGCCTTGAAACAATTGTTACATGCACAACAACTTATGAGATGGAAAAAACGGGAGAAAGAATTAGAAAGAATTATTTCTCGACAGAGAACCAGAGAATTAGTTCTCAGGAAAAAAAATGCGAGATTAATGGAAAGATTAAAGAGAGCCAAAGCCAACCGAGCTCAACGCTTACAACGTTTACGGAATGTACCTGAAGAAGAAGAAGAACCTTCTCCGTCTTCGTCACCACCTCATTCACCACCCCAGAAGCCAAAGGCCATTTCCCAGTATTATCAAGTGAGACTCAATAAAGCTAAGCATTCCAGAAAATTTAAAGCTAAAGAAGATGTCTACAGTGTGAATTTTAAAGAATTTCCAGAGGAGGAAAACAGAGGCTTTGTTCGGCGATTATTTAGAGACATGCTACAGAATGTCAAATATCACATGCAGTGTAACCCTAACGATTATGTACGCCTGAACATTCACCACCCTTCTCTGGATTCCGACATTTGGTACGAGTTTACGCAATGTAAACATTTGAACGAGGACCTCATTTTAAACAAAATAGAAGCCGTGCAACAATCCAAGAAAGATTTTAAACTGGGAGACGGGTCTATGGAATTCGACATGTTTCATGTCAAATATCCAGAAGGCAGTGGTGGACAGAATACCAAACACCTGATGGTCAATAAGGAGAGTTTTAAAAAGAATAAACGATGCATCCTTCAGATCGACAATCCTTGGGATAAATTTTGTTTAGCTCGAGCCATTGTAGTCACCCGGTTACACAGTCAAAAACCGGAAAATCCAGAGAGTTTAGTTGAATGGGAAAAACAATGGCTACGTATGCGGAAGGGTGATGTAAGAGCTAATGACCAGAAAAATGAAGCTATAGCTCTCATGGAACAAGCCGGGTGTGATATTCATCAGCCTTGTGGACCCGAAGAATGGGGGAAATTACAACAGGTGTTAGCCCCTCGCTATCGACTGAAAATATTTCAGTTCAAGTCCACCTCCTCTAAACTCAGTTTAGAGCCCATATACAAAGGCGGCGGAGATGGAACTTGTTTAAATGTTTTGTTAAACGATCATCATTACGATGCTATTTTGTCTATGCCAGCTGTGACGGGCAACCCATATTACTGTGATCATTGCGATGTGGGCTACAGGAACATTACAGGCCACCGTACCAAGTGTCCTTACCGCTGTTCACTTTGTTTAACGGACACTCCCTGCCCTCCAGACGGGAGCCACATTCAATGTTATCAATGCCAGGGATTTTTTCAGAGCAGAACTTGCTACGAAAACCATTTAAAACCTCACAGTAAGAATACGGTCACAACAGTATGCAGTTTAATGGGACGATGCGACCATTGTGAGAAATGGATGCCTAAAATGTTACTCCCTCATCATCATTGCGGAGGACAGAAACAATGTAATCTGTAAGAAAACTGTAGACACGGATCATCAGTGCTACGTTCAACTGAAGCCTGAGAAAAAGAAAAAGAAAGGCAAAGAGACATTACAGTTTTATATTTATTTCGATTTCGAATGTACACAGGAAAACGGCATCCACGTCCCTAATTTATGTGTGGCACACCGCGTATGTCAACATTGCGGACACTTACCCATAGAAGATCCCTGTTCTCACTGTCGACACATGGGACCCCGTCAACACGTGTTTAAAGGGCCAGATACCTTAAAACACTTCATGGACTGGTTATTACAACCCGACACAGGCAATAAGAATTCCGCCTTATTACACGACGAGGCTATCATCATTGCCCACAATTTCAAAGGATATGACGGACAGTTCATTTTAAATTACCTGGTGCATTCCGCCTGCATGACGCCTACAGTCATCATGAACGGCAGTAAAATCTTATCCATGCAAATCTGCGGATTGAAATTCATCGACTCTTACAATTTTTTACCTTTTGCTCTGTCTAAAATGCCCTCTGCTTTCGGATTCACCGAACTGAAAAAAGGGTATTTCCCTCACTTTTTTAATACAGAACAGAACCAGAATTATGTGGGGCCTTATCCACCGGCAGCTTTCTACAATCCGGACGACATGTCTATAAGTGGACGACAGGCTTTTTACCAATGGTACGAACAACAAACCGGAAAAGTGTTTGATTTCCAGAAGGAATTTTTAGACTATTGTATTTCAGACGTCGATATTTTACGACGATGCTGTGCTCAGTTTCGAGCCACTCTCAAGACCTTGGTCCATGTAGACCCCTTCCAGGAATCCATCACTTTTGCCAGTGCGGCCAATTTAGCTTACCGTCGAGGATTCATGCCCGAAGATACCATTGCCATCATTCCCAACATGGGGTATCAGCCTGCGCGTCAATATTCCGCCAAAGCCTGTCGTTGGTTAAGCTGGATGAGTCACCAGAGCGGATCTCACATACGACATGCTAGAAACGGAGGAGAAGTGAAGATCGGAAGTTATACTGTAGATGGATACCAGGAAGCTACTCGTACCATCTAAGAATTTTACGGATGCTATTGGCACGGATGCTATCCGAATCTACAGACCGAAACTCATCCTCACCGGACACAATTTATTTACCAGGAATTACACGAGGAAACTTTAAGGAGGAATACGGTCTTAGAGGAAATGGGGTATTCCGTACGTAGTATCTGGGAACACGATTTCGATCAACAAGTACAAAGAGAGGTGGCATTACAGAATTATGTACGAGACCTGGACATTCCAGATCCTTTGAACCCCCGAGAAGCCCTGTACGGAGGCCGGACCAATGCTACACGCTTGTATTGTGAGGAGGGGGACATGAGATACGTGGACGTCTGTTCCTTATACCCTTACGTGTTAAAACACAGACCTTTTCCTTTGGGCCATCCTCAGATCATAACAGACCAATTCCAGGACGTGAGAACTTATTTCGGTCTCATTCACTGTCGGGTCTTACCACCCCGAGGCCTCTATCACCCCGTTTTGCCTTATCGCACAGGAGGCAAGTTATTATTTCCATTATGTCGAACCTGTGCGGAACGACAGGACTCTACTTCTAAACATCGATGTCAACACACAGACCAGGAACGCAGTCTTACAGGTACTTGGGTGACTACAGAATTACATAAAGCCTTAGACATGGGATATACTTTAGAGCGGATTTACGAGGTTTGGAATTTTCCAGAAAGCAGTCAAGATTTATTCAGATCTTACATCGATACCTTCTTAAAGATCAAACAGGAAGCTTCTGGATTCCCACCTGATTGTCAGACGGAGGAACAAAAACTAGATTACATTCGTAAAGTAATAGACAGAGAAGGCATTAGAATGGACCTGTTAAGTATAGAAAAAAATCCGGTGCGAAGCACGATAGCCAAACTCTTTTTAAATTGCCTGTGGGGAAAATTCGCTCAACGCCTGTTATTACCTAAAACTCGATACTTGACCGAAGAAGAGGAAGTACAGCAACTCCTACAAGATTCGACCATTGACATCAAAGGGATAGAACTCTTAGAAAATAAAGAGCAGCCCGAATCTGACATGATGCTGGTGAATTATCAAGAGAAACAAGAATTCGTAGAAGAGTGTCCCTTCGGAAACGTGGTACTGGCCTGTTTCACTACCGCTCATGCCCGATTACACCTCTACGAGACTTTACAACCTTTAGGAGATCGGGTCCTTTATTTCGATACGGACAGTATCATATACCAACATAAGGAGGGACAATTTAATCCTACCCTTGGCCACAGTTTAGGAGAATGGACTGATGAATTAGACGGGGACCACATTATCAAATTCATGTCAGGAGGTCCTAAAAATTATGCTTACCTCACCGCCAAGGGAAATTCCGTGTGTAAAGTCAAAGAATTGACTCTTAATTATCGGGCTTCCAATATCGTGTCACCAGAGACATTAGAAAAAATGCTCAAGAAAGAAATGGATGAAATCCAAGTCTCGTATCCCTACAAAATACAGAGGACTCGTCATCATGAAGTCAAGACAGTACCTTTAGAAAAACAATATAGAATTGTCTATGATAAGAGACAATTGATGAAAGATTATAATACTTTACCTTATGGTTATTAAAAACATACTGTATTTCAAAATGTGTTATTATTTTATGGGGAAAACCCCTAAAATATGAAGGGGGTTATAAAAAGGGGGTAAACATATTTGAACACTTCAGTCATGGCTAATCATTCTAGGGAGCCAGAGGGGGTTCCTGTTTACCCTAACTATGCTCTGCTCTTAAAGAGAGAAGCTACCTTTAAAGAGGGATGGCCCGAGTCTTTAAAAGGATTATTACCCAACCTAGCCAAAGCCGGATTTTATTACAGGGGAGTGAGTGATAAGACCATCTGTTTTCATTGTGGTATGACTTTAAACCGCTGGAAACCTACAGACGATCCTTATGTAGAACATGCTTATTGGAACCCTAATTGTCCTTACATCAATACCTATAAAGGACGTGAGTGGGTGATGATCGTATTTATTAACCATTTACTCCGGGTGGGATACAAAGTTTCACCTGAAATTAAACCTCTACTAGACCAAACCTCTACAGAGATTCAGGCCACAGGAAAATGTCACATTTGTTTAGAGGGAGAATTACAAATGGCTTTACTCCCTTGTGGACACGTATGTTGCTGTTCATTATGTGCTCCCACCTTCCGGTATTGCCCCATTTGTCGATCCGATGTGAAGAGAACTCAACGTATATTTCTGTGTTGAATAAAAAGGATTGAAACCCTATTTTTCTCTTCATTTATCATCATGCAACCTGACGAGACACTCCCGTCTTTTCAATTAAAACACGAATATACCATGGTGGTAGCAGGACCATCTAAATCGGGGAAAACGGAATTTGTTAAGAAATTAGTGAAAAATTTACATTGGATTACCCCCATGCCACAAAAAATTGTCTGGTGTTATCGGGAATGGCAACCTGCTTACACTTCTTTAACAGATCAGGTCTCCTTCATTCGAAATATTCCCGAAGACGATGAGAAATTAGTGGCCAATTTAAGTATTCCTCACTTACTCATTTTTGACGACATGATGGGAGGAAAAGCCATCGAATCCATCGTGGATTGGTTTACCCGTAAAGCGCATCATCGGAATACCAGTGTGATTTACATCACTCAGAATTTATTTGATCGGGCACCACAGCATCGCACTATTAGTTTGAATGCTCATTATTTAGTGTTGTTTAAAAATCCCAGAGACAAATCTCAAATCAGTGTCTTGAGTCGACAGTTAGCCTTACCTCATTTGATGTCAGCTTATCAAGAAGCCACCAGTGTTCCTCACGGGTATCTCCTGGTGGACTTGAATCCACAGACCCCAGACGAATACAGATTGAGAAGTCGATTGTTTGAATTGTTTACTATACACATGCCACAAGAGTATAAATAAAAATGTACCAACATTAAACTTGTCATTTATCATTATACAGTCGTCATGGGTCGACCTCTCTCAGCCAAGAGTAAATTAGTGAAAACGTTACGACGTTTACAGCGGGAGCGAGATCCTGCCAAGCGAGCCCATTTAATCGAATTAGGGCGCAAAGCCTTATTGAATTGGTTTGCTATGGGAGCTCGAAATTTGATACGTGGGGTCTTACCTATCAATAAACAGACTCAAAAGTTTATTAATAATCATCGTCAATATTTAAGTATCATAGCCGATAAGTCGGCGAGTGATCAAGACAGAAAAAATGCCATTTTAAAACGCGGAGGAGCCGGATTTCTAGGCGGAGTCATCATTCGTCATTTATTTAAATGGAATGCACCTAAGAAACGACGTGTTCGTCGTTTAAAAAGTGTGGTAGTGCGAGTCAATAATAAGAAACAAAGAGTATTTCCAGATTGGATGGTCCGAGTAGGAGGAGCAGCTCAAAAGACCAGAAAGAAGAGAAAACCTCCTAAGAGAAAACCTCAAAAGAGAAAACCTGCTGCTCAAAGAAAAGGTGGTAGAAAGAAAAAAACGACTCCCAAAACTCCAGCTCAACGAAAAGCCATGCCTGAAAGTTTAAAAAACGAAATCAATCAGTATTATAAAGAACAAAGACAAAAAACTATTGGGGAATTATTAAAAAAACAAGCTGAAATGAGAATGGATCGTCCTATGGGACCCATAGGCAGTCAAAGAGCTCCCGATTTAGAAATGTTTCCTCAAGTCAATATGGGAATTCCCTCTCCTAGAATTAAAGTACCCATTCACACTCCTAGAATTAAAGTACCCATTCACACTCCTAAAATAGCACGCTTTCAACCTCTGACCGCTTCTACACCTCAACTTCCTAAAGGAATGAGATATAAATGCCGATATTGTTCCAAATTCTACGTCACCCAGAAAAATAGAGACAAACACGAGAAGGCCAAACACGACATGTATGCTCCTCCTTGAGAGTATAAAAAGGGGAGAAACCTGGAACATGTCCTCATTTTAACCCCAGGAT